CAAACTAGGACGAAACAGCTGTCCGGTACTCCCAGGTCTTCCACTGGTTCTCTAACTGCTGTCAGCTCATAATGAAATCTCCCAACCAATTAAAAACAATCCCTATAAAACCAATACTTTAAAAATAAATTCAAGTCTGTTGAAGCCCACACAGATTACTGTCACTGTGCAGCTGAAGCACAATATATGGATTCAAAAGAAGTGAGCTTAATTCAATCTCCTTACGTTTTCATGCCTTTTCAATTAGCTATGAATATAAACGCATCATGCCATCTCTTACTATATATCGAGAGATCAACTTTCATTTTTCTTTAGTTATATCATCGTGTATTATACTTTATTGGTTCGAACAGACTACTGTTAATTAATTCAGGCTAACTCACTATGGAGAGAGGGGTTAGTAAACATCTCTGACGATTTATGCAGTCCCATACATCTTACTCTCGACTTTAGTTAAATAATATATATATTTATATATTAGTGAACAAAGAATATTCTTTCCGTAACCTCTTCGTTAGGTTCTACATTTATATGACAGTAATGACTAAGGTATTATTGTTATTGACGCTATTAATGCTGTTTCAAATTATACTGAGTCAACAGCATCGACAGGTGATTACATTTCAAAAGCATCAGTAGAGAGATAATACGCATTAATAGCACAGCAAACTGAATATATCAGATAAATTAAGGGAAGTAACCCAAAAAGTTATGAATTTATGGGTTCCACAGCAAGCGAGGATAGCACAATACCTAGTTGGATCTGTTAATTTTGCGCCAGAGATCCGGTTGTTTTAAAAAAATTGGAATGGTCACTGTTGTTTTGAAGTGTTCGGTATCTAGAGGTCTTTGGTAATTTATTTGATAGATGATAGAGAAAGACTCTTCAAAGTGGTGGCCTGTTTGGATATGGTGATCCAATATACAAATGTTGACTATGACCACGTTTACTCATCATAAATTCTGACCTATACTCCAAAGTTGTCAAGATAATGATGAAATGACACGAACAGTACGGCTTTTCTCCTTACTTTTTTAATGATAACAATAATAGCGGTAGACAATGTGTAACACATTACACAATTTCACGCATATTGAAATTGAAAACATTTTCTATTCTTAGACGATCTTCAAGTAAAATAGTATTCAGTGGTTTGTAGTGTGACACTGTGTTATTCCAATTAAGGCAATATCTAGTCCTCAACGATATTTTTTGCACATTTCCTTCGAGAAGTGCGCTCCACATTGCGTACTGAACCCAAAACTAAAGACGCACGTGAGTTTGGGTAGGGAGATCCGAAAAAGACAATTAGATGATTAAAAGATTAAGAAATGAGGGAGTGCTTATGCAGTATACTGAATGATTTAAACAGGCCACCTCGTCTCTCGTTGAAATTTCGCTTCACTTAATTCAGCCTTGGCAATTTCATCTGACCTTAAAATTCAAATGGGACTATTAGCCTAGTGTAAATGACAAATCTGTTCTGGATAACTAACTAAATGAGTAGCGACATCGGGTTCAACTCCCCGCTGACACACCTAAACCTCACTGCTGTTATGAGATCCGATAAAGATGGACGGTTAGGCATGAGACCATCACCCCCACACAGTAAAAATGACATCACCCCCTCCCTCTTCATTCTTAAAGGTAAAGGTATCCACATTTAAAGTTGGTAAGATGTTTGTTCCAAGTGGACATTAAATTAGATTATCAGGTCTTCTTCTGTGTATCTTGAAATCAAGAGAATTTAATGTGAATTGTTTAATGTTAGTTACTTGGTTAATTTCAGATTCTGTTGTAAGCATGTTTCTTATGCAACAAATGATTTTACATGACTGATAACAACTATCCAGACAAGTTCATCAGGAGATACAGAATAGTCAGAACACCAAGATCCACTCTCCAATTCGCCTCTAAGAAATACGTGTACATCAAGCTATCCTATATGAGGGCATCATATCAGTTTGATAACTAGACAAAGATTGAACGATGCGATTAAAGACTTTTTATTCAGCTAAGATCATAATAATTGAGAATGTGAAGCCAATATATCCATCCATCTAAGCCATTTAAACATGCGTAAAATGATGTCACATCCCATTGTATTTATCTGTTTGAATTTACGTGGGGACACACATACATACGGAGGACTTATCGATCTATGCAAGTAGGGGCTAGCTTCAGAGCATATTCCTAAATGGCTTCAGAAGCAAATAGAATCTCCAAAACCTATTGATGGTGAGAACAGGAGACTTAGCTCCTCTATTGAGAAATATATTATAAAGGAGACAGGACATAAAACTGATGTTTACACGTCTTCTAAACCTATCTATAAGACGTGTTTGTAGAAGCCCTAGCTGGGAATTAGAAAGATTAAACCACCTTTATGTGTTCAAACGGGATTCATCACCATACTGAACCTTCCTTGATAAACTTTGTTTTGATACTATAGCAGATGTAATATTACCTCTGTTATTTGGTTTAGTGATCTTCATTGTTATTTTGATTTTCAATATGTCCGTTTCAACTTGACCTAAATTTATTTTCTCACCTCTTAACTCTTTATTAATTTCATATATCTCAGATTGTTTGAAATGTGTTGCGCAGATACATTATACGATTCAGACAAATTGCGTCTTTTTATTGTTTTGTCCAAATTCATAAAGGGAACTAATTGTTTTAAATTTTAGTTTAATTTATTTTTATTATATTTTTTAACCTGAAAATTCTCTAAACTTTGGGAAACTATGCAGGAACTGGAGATCACACTTTCATCCTTCGCATATCGAAATAATTCGTCTCAAGTTATCTCTAGGTGGAAAATATGAAGAGGCTATATGTCTTCGTTTATAGTTGTATGCGTTCATGCCCTTATATTAAGGTGGTCTAGTCATTGTCAGAAATATTGAGGTTAGGCATGCTGATGGGTAATTAGGGAAAGTCAGTCGATGGTGTTGTGAAGTTATATCTATTTAGATGACCAGGAAACGTTACGATTGCCAAGCTACCATCGTCCCCTTGATTTGGGTTGCGAAAGAGTTAATGGAAGTCAAACTGATATACGGGACTAGTAGCTGCTCTTTTGAGCCACATAGGGAGGAGTAGACTGTCTGAATTGAGGTCTTCGAGGCGATAAGAAGCAACGGCATGAGATTATTAGTGAAATGCGTCAAAATCGCGTTCTCAGTGGAGCAGATGCATTCACTACTTGTGATCTTCTGGATCCATTGGGTCTTGCGTCCATATTATAGTTTCTTCGTATTTTTTTTTTTTTTTTCATATTGGTTTTCAGCCAGTGGTCCAAGGAAAACGGTCTTACCTTAGATTGCTCTAAATGTCAAACAGTCCATTTCACCTTTAGGCATAAATCTGACCTAAACAAACTGGTTAGCATTCACGAGGTGTGCAACATAGATGGCACTGAAATAGAAACGAAGTCGGAAATTAAATACCTAGACGTCATTCTATCTGCTGACCTTTCCTGGTCGTCTCATATCTTGATGATTTTTAAGAAAATATTCAATCTCACCTTCTACATCAAGAAGTTAAGATATTCTAGAATAACCCAACCCTTACTCTTACGCGATTCGTTAACTCACGTATTCTGCCTATTACTCTATATTGTTCCCCCTTAGTTTCTCCTAGGCTACTGAAGAAAGGCTATACTTTATTACGCAGGATGTTAAAGGTTATCAGCAGGGTAAGCTACGTGCCACTTAACCAGCTTGTTAATATTCTCGTCGCCATATCTATGTACTGGTCGAGAATTTAATAGTCCTGACGCAGAAGCGGAAATCAGAAGACTAGGTTTGCGATGATACTTCTATTTTCCAAACACAAGGAGAAGCAAAAGTGTATCACACCAGTCAACAAGATGGTGAGCGAAAATATACCAGACAAGTGTGTGAACAATCAATGACAAACATGATGGCCAATTATAATGAGTTCGATCCAATATACATAGCAAAATAAAGACATGTCAACAACACCTAATGGATATTCACAGCAACGGACTGTCAACAACACAAATATGGGAATCTGTAAAGGAGGATTGACAGACACCTGGACTCATGTGAAAAATGGACTAAATCCATTTTATCTAACTCACATCACCTTCATCATTCACAACTCTCCTCTTGTATCTCATCAGGCAGAACCAGGAGCCTATATAGAAAACTATATGCTCGCACTAGTATGTACAAAAGCTCAACAATACCCTACTTAGCTCGTGTTCTGTGCGATAAAGAAAGCATTGGGCGTGATACCTATAACTTATTAAATAGTCAGTAGAACAACTGGATCTCGTCTTTCCAACTCGTATCATGTATAGGTACAACGTTCCCTTTCTTTCTTTTCCTTTTCTCTCTCTTTTTTCTGTTATGTGCAGCTTTGTTTCTTTCTTCTGCTTACGCCAGTAAATATGCTAGCATCTACTTTTCTAACACCTTCAAACACTCTGTGTAATTTTTGGCTTTGCTACCGACATGCTGATATGTTGTTGTCAAAACTAACTGAGATTACCCTTAATCTATGTAGAATTTTATTTTACTGTTAATTTACTAACTGGATGAAATTCTGTAGTAAAATGCTGAGAATTCCATTCTGTATCGCAAGTACTGTTTTGGAATAAAGCAAATTATTATTGTTATTATTATTAAATCTCGTAACTGCTGAACTTTAGTGCAATGTCCTATGTTAAATAATGCAATTCAATTGAATTATCCTACAAATCATTTACATTATTTGAATGACTGCATCCAAACAGGTACTTTTTGTCCGATTTCATATTTACCTTTTTCCACGTTGCTATTGTGGTGAGAGCAGGGTGCTAGCCAATTGGTAGACATTAATTTACGTCAATGTCTAGGTCACTAATATTGGCCGTGAGAAAATATGAACAAGGTTGAATCAACAACCAATCACAGCAGACTTAACGTGGGCAAATAAGATTCGCAGATATATGGCTTAACTTTCCCAGAAACCAGAAACAGCCAATCAAAAGACTGTGTTTGTCTGCTTGAATAAGCTATAATAATGTACATGAAATATATATAAATACATGCTGATTTCCGTAATATAACGATCTGTTGGCGGCCCCTGTCTTCTGATGTTACACTATAGGTGGTCGGTTCATTGATGCAATGCTCATCAGGAGGTCACACGCATGGTTCAGGGGACTCAACACTATGTCGACAAACTTCTAAACCTCGACCAGTTTATTGGCTTGAGAAAGAAGGTAAGTTTAGCATGAGACTAACAACCCAAGCTGAAGCTTCGAAACTCCCATCTTCCATACAAAGAACGCAAAGCCTTACGTAACGAAAGCATAGAAAGAGAAATAAACTGTTTATTAAAAACATACACATATAAAACACTGCGAAACAAAAAAAGAGAAGAAGATGAAAAGACAACAGAAAGAAAGAAGGAAAACGAAGAGTTTATAAACGGGAAGGTAGTTTAACCAAAATGCTAAATTCATCATTAAATTATCATAAACACATAAACAAATAAATACATGGAAGACAAGGACGACTGTTATCATCACTATTATTATTATTGCGTAACAAAAAGACGATTACCATCAGATAGACAAGAATAAGGCAGAGAATTTTTCTTTTTTTTTAATATGAAGTGGTGATGACCTGAACTTCATACAAACACATACAAACATCAACGTTTTCCATCAGAAGAGGAAGAAAGCTGACTAACTGACCACCTGACTGACTGACAACCAATCATAGTGTCATTTAAACAGAGATAAAGTATAAGCTCAAATTTAAAAAAAAAACAGGCGTAATTAGAAGTGAAGAGCTGAGGGAAGAAGAGGCACAGTAAGGCAGAGTCAAAAATAGCTTAACAACAAGAAGAACAGAAACTCAGTTTACTTCTCAGAAGCCTCAACGCCTCTCAATACAAGGATGTGTGTATACGTGTATGTGAGTGTGTCAAAGAACCACTGGTGAAACAGTGGCTCACTTCAATGAAGACAAGGATATAAATAAATATAATAATAATAATAATTAAAATAATTACACTAATAATTTTAATACAATAATTAAATTATAATTAATTAAATAAGGCACAATTCTTCCCATTAGGTGGGGAAAACCAAAATAAATCAAAATCAAACTGTTTAGGACATTGATAATAATAAACAAACTATAAATAACTATAAATAAGTAGACGGGATTGAAACAGCAACACAAGTCATCGTCGGCATCATCAGTGAGTGGATGTGTTAAATCAAATCAACATTTAAAAGTAAAAGGCGGTAAAAAAAAGTTGAGAAATATTCATCCGATTTTCGAGTGATTGTGTGTATGTGTGTGTGAGCGTGTGTGTTTAAATAAAGTAAATAAATAGTAGTAAGCTAAAAGTGTTTTTTTTGTTTTGTTTTCAAGTCTTCAAGGGAAATACAACGAATACAAACACGGTTGGACATGTAATCATCAAAGAGGATAATATTATTTCGTAACCCACTTAGCTGAGATACCAACAGGCAATACAGCTGATTGTTTATTGGATCATTGTCGGTGAACGCTAGGATGAATTAAGATAATACAAAGCTAATTTATACGGACAAAAACACAGTGCATACATACATACTGTTTATATATGCAAACATGAGGAGGAGATTTTCTTATTCTGAATAACAATAACAAGGAAATCAATCACTATCCCACTTATATTTATCGTTTAGCTAGCCGATATTCTAACAATGTCCCATAATTCCCATCAAGATTATCATATTTTGCACACAGCGCTAATTGATTTTCAATACCCCAATAGGATTTTAAACAAACTTGACCTTCCCAACGATCACCAACTCGTGTTAAATGTGTCCAATCTTCACCGACAACCACAGCAACTGCATGCGCTGTAGGCACACTAACACGAAATGGTATAGTATCAGCATTCGGTTGAGTTGATCCACTCGGATAAAGGATACCGTCTAATGGTGTATGCAGATAACAGCCTTCTTTCCATTGAGCGAATTGTTGTGGGAAACACATCACTTGACCATTACGACCACGATTCACTTGAGTTGCTTCCAATAGGTAGTTAAATACACCAGGCAATGATTCACCAGGTTCTGTGTATGGTAGAGCATAGATTTGAAATTTGAAAAATCCTGGATGTGGAAAGCGGACGACAAAGTAGATCTGTGAATCACGTGTTTGTTGAAGTACCTATAGAAGGGAAAATAGTAATAGAAATAATGATAATGAAAATATATTTAAAGATATATTAATCTTGAGACTATCTGAGATAGTTTTACAGTGGCGTGCAGGTTCCGGATTCCAAACTTAATGGGAATTGATGAAGAATTTCAAAGTAGAGCGGCGAAACCGATGTCCAGTATTCCCTAGTTCTCAACGATGCCTCAACTGATGGTAGTTTGTGATAGAATCTACAGTAAAATTAATCCAAATCTCCACAAAAACCCTAAATCTGGATGAAAAAAATTCATTTGACTGTGAATATTGTTTCAAGGAAGATCTGAAACTTCATCAGACTACTTCTTCAGAAAGCTCTTCGACTAATAACTATATGTGTATATATCCTATGAAGTGGACATCGTCAAGACCACAAATAATACGTGTCTCTTTTGTCCGCAATGATACTTGAGTGGATTCATTTTAGATTGGACCATATGACAGGACAGTCGATTCAGTTCAATCATTTTACTAAGTTTCACTCATCAGAACACTAAAGTGGATATTTTAGGCTACTATGCCGACGACAGATCTAAGAGACACCACTTGTTAATTGTCAGCTACTTTATACATATGTATCCAAATAACTTATTTTCATTCTTTGCCTCCCGAATCAAATATAGGGGCCTCAAGAATCTGAAAGTTCAATAGCGGTAGTGTCGCTAGCCTCACACACCCAACCTTCCTTTGTTTTCTGAGCTTTCTATCAGCTAGGCGAGAGTTAAGAGTGTGAGTCAGTGGCGAATCAAAACTGGACCGCTTGTATTTGACTAGTGAGCACTCCTACCCTTCAACCACTTGATGTACATTCAAATAATTACAAGACGAGAAAAAATGAAACGCATTAACTTTTTTTAGGAATTTCTACTCAAAAAGATAAGAAACTGACAGACTACAACTTTTCTCGTTAGCGGAAATGGTTTAAAGTATTTATAAAACCCTGCAGATTAAACGGTCTTGTTTTGCAAATATATGATATGTTTGTAGAGTTCACCCTAGCGCCGTATACTATACTGGACACTTAACCAACTATCGGATATATTCAACTATTGGTTTGTAGGGGTTTGGTTGATTGGTTTACAGGATTTCATCATGAGCTGACATCAGTTATAGAACCCTTGAAAAACCTGGGGGTACTGGACGACTGTTTCGTCCCAGTTTGGGACTCTTCATCAGTACGCACTCACCGGAGTTCGAACTTAAGACCTTCTGGTTACAAACCTGGCGAGCTCGTAGACCTTTAGGCCGCTTGGATCCGATCTAATGTCCAGCCCATGAATTCTAACTTCTGCCAATTCATGATATAGCGCAACCGCTAGCCAATGTCTTCGGCGAGTATTTGTTCACACACCCGACCTGATGCACCCTACTGGTCACGACTTCTTACCAGAACCCCAGGTAACTACCTACCTGAATAGAATATATTGTCGAAAGGAGTTTCATTCATCCCCCAAATGGGCTAGGAGTTATAAATCTTAGACAAGTGATGTGATAGATTGGCAAACTCGTGTCATTATTTTGTTATTGAATAGGATGTCGATAAAGCACCGTAAAATAAGATGAATAGTAAGTCATCTACATAATCATTCATAACCACTACAAGATGAAATACAAAAATCAAATGAAGCTTCCACTAGTGTTTATTGTTTGACGTAAACAATATCAAAAGTAAGTTGTTGTAGAGTGTAGTATGACCACAAATATAAGGCAATGTATTTGCAAGACAACACTTTCAGCAGAAGAGGCGATTATGCTACACCTCAGGGTGTTCCATCCACTTTTACAATCCATCCTATTAATTTCAGATCTCTTACTTATCATCTCATGTTGACGCCAGTAGTTCCATTAAATAAATTATGATCTACAGCTCTTAAGCTTTTGTAGCGTAGACTATTCATTTGACATTTCTTATGCTTCTATTTGTCACTGAACTTAAATGCTTCTGGAACGAGTAGCTGTCTATCTATCCGTTAGGATTAAGCTGTATGAACCTTCAGTCTTTTCTAAGTTTTTACTGATGGCCAGTTACTGGCTACATTTATGTTCAAGCACAACAAATTGGAGATGTTTCCAGCTTTTCGTCTTCATTAAGTTCCTGAACATTTCCTTTTTAAATGTAATTAATTTACAAAACAAAACATATGTATACCAATTAAAAGAGAAGATATATGTATAACACAAAATACCTGTTGTGAACAATCCTCAGCTACATCATGACTACAATGTATTAGCTGAGCCATAATTCTTAACGGTTTTTCAGGATGTCGAGCAAATTGAATGCATAATTCACCAGAATTGGCTTGAATAAATGGATCTGTATGACTGAGAGCTTTTAAACCCATTGAATCAAAACGTGGCATTGGACCTAGATAAGTTGGTGCAATGGTAGGCAAACCACGAACTGGGGAATCACAATCAGATATAATTATGTATTGCCAAACCTAATCATTACAGGAGAGACATAAAAAAACAAGAAAAAAAGGGAAAATTTGACTTTAATATACATGTCGTCATAATCTGTTCTTACTTGCATCAGTACGGAATTTCTACTGCACCAGCCTACAGTCAATTTTTTTAAACACAGACTAAAAACCATGATATCCACTGTAATTATTCATAAAAAATCTTTCAGTAAACCAGATATTCTGTGATATTCCAGCAACAAGTTGGCAGAGGAAGCGTTAAAGATAGGACTTCAAGTAAACATAGAGAAAACAGAGGTGATAAAGATTCCTGGCCAACAGCAATAGCACCACCACCGACAACAACAACAGTCAGCATAAATGAGAGGAGTCTGAAAGGAGAAACCTCCTTTACCTACTCACCTACCTGAGAAGCATCGTTTCAACTACAGGCGGACGGAAATGGTGAGGATATCAAACAAGCATCGGGAAAGCAACGCAAGCTTTCATTTCTCTCAAGTCTGTGTGGAGGTCAACAACACTCAGCATGAAAAATGAGATTCGGATTTTCAACTCCAATGTGAATTCAGTGCTACTATACGGACTAAAGACTAGGCGCCACGTCAGGAAGGGCGCTTCGAACAAACTACAGACCTTCATCAACATCTGTCTTCGCTCAATACTACTCAAGATCACATGGGCGGCCAGAAAAGATGAGCAACAGAGATCTCTGGCAATGAACAAACGAACCAACCCAGGAGGAACCTATTGTGCAACAAATAAGCAGGAAGAACTGGAGGTGGATTGGTCATACTCTGAGGAAAGCATCACGTGAGTGACATCACACGCCTGGCCATTGCTCTAGTGAGACCCGAGTGAGAAGAGATGACATGGAGGAGGTCATATGAAGAGTAGATGATAGCTGTGGGCAGACGTGGAACCAGGTAAAAAGGTTGGTGGAGAACCAAACGCAATGAGGACGTGCGGCTGAAGCCCTATGTTCCTCTAGAAATTATAGGAAACAGTAATAATAATAATAACAAATCTATGAAATTCCAGTCGGCGTATATAAGTGAGCTGAAAGGTGCGTCAAATATCACATTTCTACTGTGACTGAAAGTTAACACAATGGTGGTAACCAGTGATGGTGATTTTGTGGATGAAATAATAATAATAATAGCGTTAAATGTTTGAACGTCAGTAATAGCGATGATTATAATGATGACAAAATAGTGATGATAAGGTTTATGCACGTGGTAATATGAATAATGAAGGTAGTAATACGAGTATATGTAGACAATTCAATAAATAAATAAATTAGGTCAAATCTCAATAGTTACGTAATACTAAGGGTGAAGTGGACATCTAATCCGAGTTTAAATAAATGTCACTGAAACACGCAGGACGTGTTATCAAGCGAGAGCATAATTTTTCATATAATAAACTTGTAATTCACTGACCATGTGAAGCAAGTATATAACTAACTATAATTTCTGATTGTATTGTCTTTTCCCTGGACCAATGAATAGCTGTTTTCTCAATACTGGAATAATATTCGAGTGATCAGTGTAGTAGAATAACTGTTTTGAAAATCCCTCCTGATACCCATTTAGACATTTCAACTAACTCTGTAATTATTATTCTTTCTTCCTCCTAAACTGTATATCACTGTTTTGATGCTTGTATGTCGCCTGTTGACTTGATCTTTGTTATTTGTTCTTGTCCCTATTTAATCTCTAGTTTTAATGCTTCTCCTCTTGGTTGTGTGATGATAATATGTTGTTCAATGACGATTTGTTTTTAAGTGAGTCAGGGCTATTCTGACTTTGAACTGTCTACGAGAATTGTTCAGTGTGGGATTCTTGTCGACAGATTTTCGAAGCCACCTTGTTGGATTAATTTTGGTAAAATGATAATGATAATAGCTTTATTCCAAAACAGTACTTGCGATACAGAATGGAATTTTCTGCATTTCACTACAGCATTTCATCCAGTTAGTAAATTAACAGTAAAATAAAATTCTACATAGATTAAGGGTAATCTCAGTTAGTTTTGACAACAACATGTTGCCATGTCGGTAGCAAAGCCAAAAATTACACAGAGTGTTTGAAGGTGTTAGAAAAGTAGATGCTAGCATATTTACTGGCGTAAGCAGAAGAAAGAAACAAAGCTGCACATAACAGAAAAAAGAGAGAGAAAAGGAAAAGAAAGAAAGGGAACGTTGTACCTATACATGATATGAGTTGGAAAGACGAGATCCAGTTGTTCTACTGACTATTTAATAAGTTATAGGTATCACGCCCAATGCTTTCTTTATCGCACAGAACACGAGCTAAGTAGGGTATTGTTGAGCTTTTGTACATACTAGTGCGAGCATATAGTTTTCTATATAGGCTCCTGGTTCTGCCTGATGAGATACAAGAGGAGAGTTGTGAATGATGAAGGTGATGTGAGTTAGATAAAATGGACTTAACCCATTTTTCACATGAGTCCAGGTGTCTGTCAATCAGAATATTAACAAGCTGGTTAAGTGGCACGTAGCTTACCCTGCTGATAACCTTTAACATCCTGCGTAATAAAGTATAGCCTTTCTTCAGTAGCCTAGGAGAAACTAAGGGGGAACAATATAGAGTAATAGGCAGAATACGTGAGTTAACGAATTGTAAGAGTAAGGTTTGGGTTATTCTAGAATATCTTAACATCTTTATGTAGAAGGTGAGACGGAATATTTCCTTAGAAATCATCAACATATGAGACGACTAGGGTACCTGCCTTATACTCAAGAAACTATTGGATCTGTTTATCTCTCTAACAGGTATTGTTCAAGTAATTTGCAGTTTGATATAATTATGAGATTCGCGGATATTAGCATAGCCTTTTGTTGCAAATAACTGTCTTTTTCATTCAGTCGTATACATTGTTGTGTATTGAAGTAACAGTAAGGAATGATGAACTGAAATACAGTATTATCACGTGCCCAACAACAGCAAAGGAGTTGTCTTCTATAAAATAATTACACATGCATGATGTTTAACCTGTCATCTACACACTGCTGCTAAGCATAAAAATAAAGTACGACTAGATTGGAAGGAAGAGAGATTGACAAGTGAACGATTCAACTTAGATGATAAGAGAAAGGTAGTTATTTTCTTCTTTCTTGACTTCTGTCAATCACCTGTATCTACACACCTTAACATACTACTTATTTTAAGGTCATTTAGCGAAAAAAAAGAAGAAAAAACAACACAGATACCAACATACAGTGTACACACATACAGAGGGTAAAATCTCTTCTTGTGACGTGAACAAATCAATGAACAAAGTGTACAGATAATTCACACTTTATTTCTTCAAACTGAACTGTCTACACGAGTAGTTAATTAATTTTTATTTAATATGGCTATATCTTCCATTGGTAAATAATCAGTTCAGAGTATCTCATGTTCCTATGTGGTATATGCTACTGACAAGATTTATAAGTAATATATCCAGATACAGATATAAATATGTGTATTATCTGCGAGAATATCGAACAGCAGCGAGATGGATTTAATGGTGAAAAGAAGGAAATGAACGACACTTTTGAAACACCATGGGAAAAAACATGAACGGAGGACAAAAGTAGCACACTACCGAAGATATGTACGAATTGGGATTCTAATAGAAAATATACATATTCTGACTATATCTGTATATCGCGTTATTAAATATTCTTTTATGTTTTGCGATACAACTGTTATCAATGGACGTGAACATTGAACGTTTGTTTATTGAAACTGGTAGTCATTGGTGGGCAACTCGAAGGCGCAAATGGTTCAATCGTGTACAAGGCGAAAGAATACGAATAAGATTACATTATATTTTGTATAAAACATTTGTTTATCCACTTGTACTTATCCAGACTTAAATTGCCAAACAATACAACTTTCTTAAAGTACTGGTGTTTTGAAGTTAAAGTCGAGAAAGTCATAGTAATTATCGGTTCGGAGCGTCTTCGTTACAAGTCCCTTGACAACTGTTCTAACAAAATAAGCATAGCTCATATTTTTGACGACTAGGGTATTACTGTTATGTCGTGTACTACTGAAAAGACTTTGTAAGTAGTATACTGTTGATGTTAGATGGTTGGAGGCAAATGCTAGGAAGTTTTGGACCAACCTTTCGTGCTAATTGGCACTCACCGGCCAGTAAACTGTTTCTGAAATCTTGAAGGAACTCATTTCCCTTCTGAGATTCGAACCCGCCTTACACAACGCTGTAGTGGGAGACGTTACCACTCAGTTATTCGGGCTCACGATTGACCTCCTTCCTGTAGAGGGCTGTATTGGATACTTTCATGGGATACATTGCAAACCTGACTGATAGAATTCAGTCTGAACTAAACAACGGACTAGACACATTACACTAGTTACTAGTGTCCAATGAAAGTATAGTATACTGTGCGTGTGTCTTCTGCGGATTAAGTTGTGAAGAGAAGAAATGATGAAAGATCCTTGTGAAACAACAATATAGGAAGCATAAAGACAGAAGAAGTGGAACACGAATATTATCCTTGCAAACTCAAATTTCAACGCAGGCTTTTTATATTTTGCCGTAAATGTACATCATTTCAACAATCAAATAAATTTAATACCAGATATTTCCGTATTCTGCCGTTACACTGTAGAATTAACAGTACAATATCAGATGCTATTACTATTCCCTTGAATTCTGAGTAGAATATAAGGCTTCACTCGGTTCTCTGCCATCCTCATTAGCTGGTTCCACGATTGCCCATAAGCTAAAATCTCCATCTCTACATCCAAATCGTCCTTTATCATTCGAGTTCCTCTCGAGAGACAGCCTGGTATGTGATGTCATTCAACAATCTCCAATCTATTTCCATTTCCTTTGGCATAATTTTTGCATGATAGGTTCTTGTTCGGTTCGTTACACGTCAGAGTTCCTTGTTGCTTCAGCATCGAGCGCCAACGAAGGTGACTGTTGATGAAAGTTTGCAGCCTGTTAGGAATGCTTACCGGATAGCATTATTATTATTGTTTCCTCTAATTCCTAGAGGAACATGGGGCTTCAAGCTACAGCTGAGAATTTTCGGTAGCAACGATTTTATTTTTATGAAATGGAGTAGCTAGTCTCACACACACAACTTTCCCTCTTTACCAGCCTAATTGCTGGTTTAGCAAGGATTAAGTGTGCATCGTCCAGGAATCGAACCCTGAACCACACACAAAAATAATTTTAAAAAGAATAACTGAAAAGTAAAAGCCTCTTACCACAAAGAAAGAATTTCCATCTTTCACAGGATCATTAGCATAGATCTCTAGACCATATTCACCAGCTTCAGGTAAGAAAAGTGCAAAAACGGCTTCTGTATTTCCATTGACACTACGTTGTAGTAGACTTTTTGATAGTGCACTCTCCGGTACTAAAGTACACTTGAGTTTAGCCATCAGACGTGGTGGTGGTGATGGTACCGGTGAATATCCAGCACCGTTGGGTGGTGATCCCAAAGTAAAACGAATTTCAAGACTACCACGTACAGCACGTAGTGTACAATCAAGACGTTGAGCAGTTATACGATAATTTTTAGCTAACTATTGAATAGGAAATAAAAGACAGGAAAAAGGAAATGTGAAAAATACATACATCCCCATTCAGGCATTAATGAAAAAAACGCATAGTTCAGAGAAGAGTCTTTTTTCAGCGAATTCATTTTCTTAGCTGTACAATCGAAAATATATATATATATATTATTTTGTATCTATGAGTACACTAAGTTCGTCAAACAAAAATACAACTGGTAATGGTTATTTCAACTAAACAGGTGAAGATTGGTATTGGAGTTACGTAATACAGAATCAGTCAAAAAAATTAGGTGTTAATAAAAGTAGGCTAGTAACAAAGGTGATGAGGTGTCACAAACAGTTGTTGAAAGAAGTTATGTAATAATAGGAATAGTTTGATGAGTGAGTTTTACTCAGGATGGACATAGAAACAAAGTAGATAATACGAAATTACGTAAGATTTCGAAATGAATACAAGAATTATAAGCAATTGAAGAACAGGTAAAGAAACAAAATTAAGTCGTCAAAATCAAAAAAAGTTGTTACCATGACAGTTGAAGTAGTTGAGAAATTCTCTTTTGTATGCACAGCTCCGGTTTTTCTATGTGAATGGCCAGAGCTTCAGCGGTACAAAGAAAACGAAACCGTATTGCCTTTGACAGGTTATTCTTGACTCTGTAGATTACTTTGAAGGAGGCGTTTGTTGAAATGGAATGATCCGTGTTAACCAGGTGTTCAATTATCACACTCACTCATCAAATTATTCATATTATTACATAACTTCATTTTAAAAACTGTTTGTGACACCTCATCACCTTTGTTACTACCCTACTTTTTAACACCTAATTTTCTTGACTGATTTTGTATTACGTAACTCCAATTACCAATCTTCACCTGTTTAGTTGAAATAACCATTACCAATTGTATTTTTGTTTGACGAACTTAATGCACACATACATATAAAATAACACATATATATTTTCAATTGTACAGCTAAGAAAATGAATTCGCCGCAAAAATACATTTGTTTAAAACAAAGTTTGCGATTGTACAAAGGGAAACGTTACCAAGCAACCATTTGCAGGTGTCAATGAGCCATATATATATATATATATATATAAGTTAATATTTAAACAGCGATTTGATTAGTGAAAAATACACCTTGGCTTCCGTGTCTTGCCTTCAGTTGTTACACTGTAACCAGTCACTAGTCAAGATCAGATTCATTTTCAAGTGTAAGCTTGTATGGATCTGATTTGTTTCAAGTTGGATCGCCGATTGATATCAGTTAGCGAAACACGGGAATACCTGTAGGGAGTACTGGACAGTTGTTTCATCCAAGTTTCGGGAAATTTTCAGTAGTGCGCACCCACTCCTTCAGGACCTACTACCAGTAACAAGGCAATTTCGTAGAATATTCAACCACTGAGACCCGACTCAATCGCCAGACCATGAATTCTAACTTCTACCAGTTCGTGAGTTTAGCGCGACCACCAGTCCCAATAGGTGTGTACTGCCAAGGAGTCCCAAATTAGGCTGACAAAACAGCTGTCCAGTACTCCCTACTGGTTTTTAAATAGTTCCCTAACTGATATCAATCCGTGATCAACTCATAAAAACAAACCAAACCCTTATAAACTAACTCTTGAAGTAATCTTGAAGATAAATAATGGGAAAATTGGGCAAAAAAAATGGTTAAAAAAAAGTCATTTAAAAGCCTCTTTTAACAATGAAAGCAATCATTCACGTAATTATATAATATAATACAAACTTTATCAGTGAAATTTTGATTGGCCATTTCTGGTTGAAAAAATATCACCATAATGAGATGGTAATTGGGAGGGAGGGGGGGGCGGAAAGGATTTGGAGGAGGAGGAGGAAGTGGACGAGTGATTACAGAAAAAAAACAGCTAATTTTATGAACGAAAAATAAACAAGAAAATAAGAAGAATATGTATATAAATAGAAAGAAAGTAGATGTGAATTTGTTTTTTAACCTCTTATAAAAGAGATCACATGTTTCCCATCTATGACAGTATAATATTATATAACACAACACAACACACACATATACACAGTGTGAAATGTTTCTACACTTTAAAGGAGATAAACAAAAATGGAAAAGTGCAAATCAAAAAAACAACAGCGAAGCTATTACTGTCAATACAAGGTTGATTTCTGTGACGAGCTGCAAAAAATCAGCTGAACAAGTTATTCAAAAACAAAAACTCAAGAAAGTAGCCTGACTCCTTCCAATGTATAGGATTTCTTAGCCGTACATACACACACACACATACAAATGAACGAACGAACGACTCCATCAGAAATCAAGACTATTATTCAGAAGAAATCCAGAGTTTTGTTAAAACTATGTTAAATAAAAATTGATATTATTATTACATCCTTTAATTCCTAGAGGAACATAGTGCTTCAGCCGCCCAAGTCTCCATTGCGTTCGGTTTTCTGCCAACTTTTTCACCCCACTCCAAGTCTGCCCACACAAGTTCATCTCCTCTTCACATCACCTCCTCCAAGTCACCCTTGCACTGACGCCGCTTCCCTTTCCGGTTCCACTCGAGCAATGGCTTGTCTAGTGACGTCACTTGATGGTTTCCTCAGCGTATGGCCAATCCATCTCCATTTCTTCCTGCCTATTTGTTTCACAATCCGTTCCTGCTGTGTTGGTTCGCTCATTGCCAGAGATCCCTGTTGCTGATCTTTTCTGGCCGACCATCTGATCTTGAGTATTGAGCGAAGACAACTGTAAATGAAGGTCTGAAGTTTGTTTGAGATGCTCTTTATGACGCGCTGGCCAAGTCTCTGGTCCGTATAGTAGGACTGACTTCACAATGGAGTTGAAAATCCGAACCTTATTTCTGATGATGAGTGCTGTTGACCTCCACACAGATTTGAGGGTAATGAAAGCTTGTCTTGCTTTTCTAATCTTGCTTTGATATCCTCGTCAGTTCTGTCGGCCTGTAGTTGAGACGATGCTTTCTAGGTAGGTGGGTAGATAAAGGAGGTTGTTTCTTTCAGGTTCCTCCCAGTTATGCTGGCTGATTGTTGTCTCTGGTTCTTGTTGTTGCTGTTGGCCAAGAATCTTCATCACCTCTATTTTATCTATGTTCACCTGAAGTCCTATCTTTGATGCTTCTTCTGGTTAAATAAATAAACGAAATGAAAAGTAAATAAGTAAATGTTTACCCCTCTGTTTTAGGATTAAATAACATTTGCAGTTCTGAATGCATTGTCACGGAACTTTCCTTCACATGAGCCATGCTTACAGAAAGTGGTTAGTCGAACTGATTGACTGACAGTGGCTTAATGGTCTACGAGCTCGCTTTGTAACCAGAAGGTCCTAGGTTCTAACCTGGTGGTGGGTGCATACTGATAAAGAGTCCCAAACTAGGACGAAACGGCCGTTCAGTACTCCCAGGTTTCCTAATGGTTCTCCAACTGATGTCAGCACATGATGAAACCCTTCCACCGAAAACACGAAAGACAAGTAATTCAAACTGGTCACTGGACTTAGTCCATAAGAAAACCATGTTCATGAATTTGGAATTCAAAGGTGATCACGTTTCAGATATGCCTTGAAAGTCGTCTAAGTCAGTCAGTAAGACGTTGTTTGCTATAAAATTACAAATGCCCTTCACCAGGCGTAAGTTGTTCTCCATCTCGGTAAAAGATAAGCTCCCACATCTGGCCGTCTCCTATATACATCTATCAGTTAACCTACTCTTGTGGAGCAAGAGAATGCTTTCCACACGGATACGAGAATGGTTTTACAACAATGAAAGGAAGAATATCCGAAGTTCTATTCTACAACACTTGATCGATTTCTGTCACTCTACCAAACCCGACTATGATTTTAAGATCACCTATCGAATTCATGCTAACTTGACGCGTTTTCTTCGTTTTAAACTTTTAAAAATAGCGGAGGCCTTTTCTCTTGATGAATTCAAATCAAACCTTTGTGTATAGAGGCAGTATGTACAGTCCCTATTTCTATCTTGGCCGTAGAACGGGGGGAGGGGGATATTTACTTATTTATTTTTCATTTTATTTATTTAGTTACTTTATGTAACATTTCCTTATTACTACGATTATTATTGTTATTATCATTATTACTTTGAACGGTTTTGGTATTAATTCACTCGTTCTATTTGTCATTCGATATCAGCAACTTTTTTGCAATGTTAAATTTTATCTTATCAAATTTTGCATCATATGATGCAACATTTTTCTTATTTGCCTACTAATCAATCCTATAATTTAAAACCCCTTCCCCACATATATACATTCTATGAACTATTCTATTTTTTTATTATAACTTGATTTCGCACAGTATTTTGGTACAAGTATGAAATTTTCAGCATATGATATCGGTAGTCCAAATTTAGCAGACCAACCACTGATATCAGGTGTGCGTCGGGCTGGGGATCGACCGCCGGACCATGTGCATAGTCGGCAAGTGTCCTAACCGCTGTGCCACCGATGCATGACATTATTTGTTTTACCATTTGATATTTAACTAATGACTATAATCACAAACATGATTGTACAGTTTGATAAAAAATTCCTCTTCGCTGAATATTGTATTCATAGTGTTACAATGGGAATTTTTTCAAAAGAATAGTTACTGAACAAAGAATATACTTTTCGATAACTTCATCATCAGGTTTTACAGTTATATATACACACATAATAGTCAATGAATTAGTGTTATTAACAACATTAATGTTGTTTAAATAGCATAAAATCAATAATAATAATAATAAAAAAAAATATCAATAGATTACAGTTCGACAGCATCAACATAACAATAACTGAATATCAGAAAAATTAAAAAAGATAATAATACGAATTCATGAATTTAGAGTCGCCATTGAAGGCCTGTTAGGACAGTTAGTAGTGGCTGGACTTGCTTCTTTTACACATAGAGCACAGGTTGTTTCAGGCGAATCACGATAGCCTCTGCTGTTTGAAGTATGCGGCACCTGAATAGTGATAGTCGCTAGTGAGCAACATATTAATTTTCAAGTAATGGTTTCGTAGGGATTTTGTTTGATTAGTTGAAAGATTTTATCATGAACCGGCATCATCGAAGAAAACATTGCGAAGTGGTCGCGCTATGTCATGATTTAGCAGAAGTTAGAATTCATGGACTGGCCACTGGATGGGATCCCAGTGGCTTAATGCTCTACAAGCTCGCTAGCCTTGTAACCAGAAGGCCGTGGGTTCGAACCCCGGTGGGTGCGTACTGTTGAACAGTCCCGAACTGAGGCAAAACAACTGTCCAGTACTCTCTGCAGGTTTTCCAATTGTTCTCACGATGAAATCTTCCAATTAAATGAAATTTATCCACACAACACTGTTACCATGTTGCATTTATTGTTCTAATCAATATTATCCATAAATGTATGTATGTATTAGACTAATGGCCTAGCAGTATGGAAATCATAACTGTACTTACACTGTAAAACGTTAATAAGTCCTCCTGAAATTCGCTAATTCAATATATATGAATATTTGTAGTGACATTTCATCTTGAACTGCGAAATTCGGTAATAAGGGTGAATGTACTGCTTTTGAATGCTTAAGTTACACTGACCATATTGTTACTAACTCTTAGCTATGCATAAGAAATAGAGGTGTATGTTTACACACAGATTAATCAGTACTAGTCAGTACTGTCTTAATCGGTTCTTATACTCTGATCTGATGTTTCACGATTATAGCGTGGGGGACCCTTTTATGTTAGGTTGACATGTATCACGCATCAAGGTAGCTGCAATAATAAATTAAATCACTTGACTACATTGACTGTGTTAATAGACATCCAACGTCACATAATCAAAATTTTATCATATAGACAGATCATAAAACCAGTTTCAGCATTATTTGTTTAAGTTAATTTTGTATTTCCTGTTGATCGATTATATGGAACCAAAATGTTCGGTGTCTGTTGAAATATTGGCTCCCAATACAGACAATTCAATGATGCCTGAGAGCTAACATGCTGTTATTTGGTGGATAGAAATTAACAGTGGAATCAAGAATGCCCATTCAGGTGGGGCTCGCCAGCCGGATGCGCTTGCATCCACACTGAGACTTGAACCTAGAACCCAAAGTTTCAGACGCCAAGGCGTTATTCATTTATTCAGTGAGGTATGAGGGCCTCTTTTAAGCATACTATGTTAGCATTACACCCTTGAGTTTGTGAAAGAACTAAACACAAAAAAGGCTAACAAAAAAAATCTACTTGTAGTTACACTCAAGTTTTAGTTAGTAAGGATCTAATTAATTTCAAGAAAGACTTATTCAGGAACCAACGTCAGTCATCATGTGGAAATAGTAATATTATTCTCCTTTCCTATACACAATTCAAACTTTATTTTTCCAATGTCTACAGATTCAACCGTTTGAATTAGTTGTGAAATGCTCAGTCTGTTTATCAAATTGAAGTATTTTGATGTATCTACCTGATGACCTAGTATCAAGAAGGTGTCAAGTTCTGACATTGTTGAACAAAGCTAAACCTATGAGTCATAGACTTTCTTTTAATACATGTTCGACAATCCTGGTAGACAATAGTCTCTTCGTTCTTATACTATATACTTACTTCTACCATGTACATAGGTGGCACAGCGATTATGACGCTCACCAACCATGCACATGGCCGGGGTTCGATCCCCGACCGGAGCACTCCTTTACCTCGCTAAGCCAGTAATAAGATTGGTAAAGAGGTAAGGTTGAAGATGAGGCTAGCAACCCCATCCTGTAGAAATAAAGACTGCTACAGAAACTTCAAGCCTGTAGCTTGAAGCCCTATGTTCCACTGGGAACGTGAAGGAATAAAAAAAAAATTTGGTTTAAGCTTAGCTACCTGGAATAGGCTTTTCACGTTCAAGGTTAATAAGTATGCTTATCACATGAAGGCTGCAGATACTACCCAGTTGCCCAAGCTGAAGTGGATAGAGAAGAGAGACTGGAACTCTTGACTCACTGGCTGAAAACCCCTAGTGTTTAAGCCGATGAGCAACATCACCACTTACTTCAACACATACATAACCGTGTAACCGGAAGGTCCTGGGTTCGAATCCCGGTGGGTGCGTACTGATGAAGAGTCCCAAACTAGGACGAAACAGCTGTCCAGTACTCCCAGGTTTTCCAATGGTTCTCTAACTAGTGTCAGCTCATGATGAAATCCTGACATACATAAGAATTAATGTACAGTGTTGGAGTTAACACGCGACAGGTATAAGTGAACACAAATAAAAATTTTTAAAAAAAAACCATTGTTAAACTGTGTAATTCATACCTCATTTGGTCCATAACTAGATGACTGACAAGGTGGAAATGGAGGTAATGATGAATTTGCACTGAAATTCGCTACCAATCGATATTCACAAACAGCTCCGTATAAATTCTCTGAGGTTGCATCATCAGTAATCATACTGACAATGCCAAGACCTTCTTTTTGTCCATTTTGATGAGGTTGTTGTTGTTTAGCATAAATGAGTAATTTATATGCACCAGGTCTTGGTGGTCGAATGTAAAAAACAGATGTGTGTTCACGTATCAGTGTTTCTTGCCGACCAAATCGACTAGATATGAAATGAATGTCAAGAAGAAGACAAAAAAAGGAATTAAAGAGTTGTATAAGATGTATGAAAACAATTAATCCCTTTTATAAATTTTGATAGCGTTATTAGAAGACGGAGATTATCTGAAAAATGTGATGTATTTGCGCTATACATTTCGAACAATCTGATCACACACTTACTTGTCAAGTCTATATATGTGGAGAAGTTAAATTAAACAAAGTGACAAAAAGGAATTAAGAATAATTAACACAACGTTTGGTAATCCAATCAATAAGGATTACCAAAGTAGGTTAAAAGTAATTCCATATTAGTTTGTTTATAAGATGTATCACACAGTGGAACAGTATTATTTACTGGATGACGTTTCGAACACAATTTATTGTTCATAATCATATCAATTTTGATCACACGACTTTGAAATTTTAGTTTTATAGTCTTCTTTGTTCTCTCCTATTTATCGTCGTTGAGGTGGCAGAATTTTCCAGATATTTGGGTGGACAGGTGTTGAATCATTCCGATTACACGTGTTGGTTTGCAGTTGATTCGACAAACAAAGGTTCTGTTATCAATCTCTCCTTCCACTCTGTGACATTAGATTTTAAAACTGTCATCTTATCCCATCCATCCCATTGTATGGTTGTGCATAATTACATGTAGTGAGTGGTATAGTTGAACTATTCTCTAGATTTCTCATCTTGTTTGGGTCAACCAATCTAGATTTAGCTAGGTTTTTATGTTCGGCTAGTCTGACTGCCCCTGTTCTACTAGTTTGACCTATGTATTTGACCTGCTAATCATTGCAGGCTGGGTATTAGATAAACTAAATTGTTTTGTTTTAAAGGCTCCACAGGATACTTTAGCCGACAAAGCTTGTTTCTAATTAAGATAAGAAATAAGATAAGCAATCTAGTTCAGCTATAGCACTACATGCAGTCACACACAACCATACAATAGGATGATGGGATAGGATGACAGTTTTAAAATCTAATGTCACAGGGTATAGGGAGAGATTGATAACAGAAACTTTGTGTTATCGAATCCACTGCAAACCAACACGTGTAATAGGGCTGATTCAACACCTGTCCAAGATATATGGAAAATTCTACTACCATTGCGACAAATAGAAGAAGACGAAGAAAACTATAAAACTAAAATTTCAAAGTCGTGTGATCAAAATTGATATGATTATGAACAATAAATTGTGTTCGTAACGTCATCCAGTAAATAATACTGTTTCACTGTGTGATACATCTTATATTTAGAAAATCAAAACAAGTGATTCAGCGAAGAGACTCTTTTCAACGAATTTATCATCAAGCTGTACAGTCCTATATATATGGTTTTTCAGAAGTTATATCCGGTGAGGGAATTGAACCTTAGGTGTGAATGCATAAAATAATAATAATAATCATATGAAGTTCAATTAAAACTAAAATGTTTGTGATTATAATCGTAGTTAAATGTCAAGTGGCAAAGCAGATTAATGTCATATATAGAATAATTCATAGGAGGGATAGAACTTGAAAAAGGGTATGCAGCTATAGGATAGGTAGACAAATCGAATAAAACAAAAACGTTACGTAATATTGTGTGAAATTCGATAGCATAGAATTTAACGTTGTAAAAAAAAGAATTGATTTAGAATGACAAGTGGGACAAGTGAAATAATACCGGGGACAGTTCAAAGTGAGAGTAGTAATAGTAACAATTGGCGTAATAAGGAAGAGTATACAAACTGAATACACTAAATGAAAATGAAAAATTGGTAGAGCTAATATATGATTGGGGATTATCATATTTTAGCATAGAGGGATTAAGACCATGAGTGTTGGAGGGGTTGAACGAACTTTTTCTGTACACAGAGATCTGGTTTTTCTGTTTCGATTACCAAAGCTTCAGCAATACAGATGAGTCGGGTACGTAGGGATTTGGGTAAATTACTCTTTGCCTTGTAGATGACTTTAAAGGCGGAGGCTATAGAGATAGGGTGGTTATTATCGACCAGATGTTCTATGATCGCGCTTCTTATTGCTCCACTCCCACCTTTTCGTAGCCATGCAGGATAATGTTCTTGCAGCTTATAAACAAACTAATATGAATACAATTGGTGGATGGTGGCTAGCAGTGGAATCCAGGATACGCATTTCGTCCTATTTGGGGCTAATATGAAATTACTTACTACCAGTGCCCAAGTTTTACACATATATTAGGTTACGAGTAATAACAAACTGTTTTTTCAATACACAAGGGGGGCTTAAGTTTATGAATAGCTATAGCCTCAGCGTATTTCAACAAGCTCGCCCTTGACGGTTTTTATAGATGACCTTAGAGGCTGAGTTGACATCAATCTTATGGTTCATCTCGATTAGATGTTTAGCTGTAGACGAAGTTGGTAGTCTAACACCTGCATCTATTGGCTTGTCACAATTCATGTTTTTCTAACCATTTTGGGATATGCTCTCCCACCCTCACATACAAAGTGCGATTGTTCCCCCCTATGTATGTGTGTCCATACACATACACACGAAAATTGGCAAATAGTGTGGGATGTGATATAATCACTTGTACACTTTTGAGGAGCATGTTTTTAGCTTTTTTTCACAATTACAAGCTGGATTGCGTGACAGGTTCTACGGATGATCGAATTCAACCTTTGCCTCAAAATCCTACTGTTTATTTCCCCATTATATGATAATTTGATGAAAACATTATTCTTAGGGGTGGCATAGATTGCAGGTTCAGAGACTAATTGACTTCTACGCCTGTTAAAAATTTTAAAGGATATCCGTTTTCAACGAGAGTATCCATCAATATTTCGTTTTCTTTGTCTATAACATCAGCCGTGCGCAAATACATCACATTTTTCAGATAATCTCCATCTTCTAATAACGCTATCAAAATAAGATGTATTAAACATTTGTAAAAAAAAAATTATATTTGTAAAATCTCAGCGATATTGAAATGAGTAATTCCAACGTTTTGTTCGGCAATCTGGTCCGAACTTCTTCAGGGAAATTAATCGAAATTAACATGACAGAGGTTTATATATAAAAGGAACATCTCTCGTTTTTATATATAAACCTCTGTATGTTAATTTCGATTAATTTCCCTGAAGAAGTTCGGACCAGATTGCCGAACGAATCGTTGGAATTACTCATTTCAATATTGCTGAGATTTTACAAATATAATTTTTTTTACAAATGTCTACTTCTCACTCGGCGCCCAAGACAAACAGAAGGTGTAGCAATGGGATCACCAATATCCCCTATCGTAGCAGACATATTTATGGACAGCTGGGAAAATAGTGCCCTCAATACATTTAACCCTACTCCGAAAATATGGTGGAGATATGTGGATGACACTTTCACAGTGTTAAAAACAGAACACATCTCTAGCTTCTTGACACATATAAACTCACAAGTTGAGGATAAAATTCACATTTGAATCAGAAAATGAACAAGGAGAATTAGCTATGTTAGATTGTAAGATAAAAAGAATAGAAGAAGGCAAACTACACACTAGTGTTTATAGAAAACCAACGCATTCTAATAGATATTTAGACTTTAATTCGTCTCATCCGTTAACTGTTAAGGCAGGCTTAGTTAAATGTTTAACAAACCGAGCAGTGGCACTAAGTAGCACAAAAAAAGATCTAAATGATGAATTAAAACAGATAGAAGAAGCGTTGGTGTTGAATAACTATCCTATAAAATTCATTAGGAAGATCATTAAAGGCCAAAAACAAAATAAAAATAATTGTGAAACTAGTAATAATAACATAAATAAGAAAGAATATAAGTCATCCACAGTTATACCATATAAAGAGGGGACATCGGAGACACTACGTAGGATTCTGAATAAAATAGGAATTAGGGTGGCATTTAAACCTACAAACTCACTCAGGGACAGGCTCTGTAGGTTAAAGGACCCAGTTGACCCAATTAGACAAAATAATATTATTTACAAAATACCATGCAATGACTGTGAGGTCAACTACATAGGTCAAACTAGTAGGTCAGGGGTAGTCAGATTGTCAGAGCATAAAAATTTAGCTAAGGTAAGAATGGTTGACCCCGAGAAGATAAATAATTTAGAAAAAAGCTCAGCAATCGCAATGCATGCGTTAACACACAACCACACAATAGGGTGGGAGAGGGTTAAAATTCTAAAAAGTAATCTAGGTAGGTGGAGAGAGAGGTTGATTACTGAATCCTTGTTCATCGAGTCTACACCCAACACATGCAATAGGAATGACTCGTCACTCATACCTGAAATATGGAAAATACTATTACCAATCAAATCAAGTGAAAATCAAGAGAAAAACAATGGAACTATATAAATGAATTTAGGAAGTCGTGTGATTACCTTGATATGATTATGAGCAATAAATTGTGCTCGAAACGTCATCAGTAAACATTACTGTAAACACTGTGCGATTTATCAAAATAAAATCTTATCTATAATGGAATTATACTCTACCACAGTGCCCAAGTTTTATACTTATATTTTACACCTATTCTGTCAAATCTTGACTACAGTTCATTAAGATGTATTAATTTGGTCTTACAGAATTCAAAAACCACATGCTTGCATATTCATACACTTGGCAATAAATTACGCCTGTTGTAGAATGCGTCGGATGTCAAAGCCAGCCAAGATAGGGAAGGCAAGACAGATCATCGTCATTCTATAACCAGATTCGAAATCTACTGAACTCAATCGGCATACAGAACAAGATTCGGATTTTTAACGCCAGTGTCAAGTCATTTCTTCTATATGAGTAGGAAACTTGGTGCCAGCGTCAAGAAGAGCATGTCTAACAGGCTCCTGGAGACGTTTATCAACAGCTGCCTTCACTGGCTCCATACTGAAGGTCAGAAAGAATTAGTAACAAGAAACTCGGGCAACGCACCAACCACGAATCTATTGCTCAACAAATAGAAGAAAAAAGAGACGGGTTGGACACACATTGAGGAAACCTTCGGGTGATATCACGCGCAATGCAGGCCCTCGAGTGGAATCCCAATGGAAGGCGATGAGTTGGATGTCCGACGATGACATGTAGGAGATCGTGTGAAGAGGAAATGAGAGATTATGAGCAATTTTGGGATCACCTGAAAATGACCGTAGAGAACAGGATAAAGGGAAGATGTGCTGTTGAAACCCTATGTTCCTCTCAGAACCCAAAGGAATAATAATATAATAATAACAATGTCTGGCGATATTATTTCGTTGCGTGATACTCTGAAGGTGTAGCGACATTTGAAAAGATATCTTACAACAAACTGTAGGTCACAAAAGCAAATAGAGGAATACGTTTAAGTGAGCAAATACCTGATAGTCTGACATAGTTTTACACGTACAGCACAAGGTACAGCAAGATAGCTACCAAGAATACAAATTGTTGTATATATATGATAATTTGTGGATGGCCAAAGATTTCAATGGTAGTAGAACCACTGAGAACCATGGAGTACTGAACAGTTGCTTCGTTCATGTTTGGCACTGTTCTGCAGTGTCGACTCATGAGCCTACCAGGGATTGAATCTAGGATTTTCAGCTTAGAAAGTGCGCCCACTGACCGTACAACCACTGGGATGAAATCTAATGGCCCATGAATTCCAACTTTTGCCAATTCTTGATAAACTGAAGTTTCTGAGAGTGTACTTCTGAAGAGTACCAAGCTAGGCCAAAACAGTTCTTTAGTAATCCCTCAACTTTTTCTAATGGTTCTCCAAATGAATTCCGTTTATGATCCCACTTGAAGTCAATCACAGTGGGATGTGACACCATCGTTCAGATGCTGTGGTGGTGGGGGGAAACAGCACAGCAAAGATTTCGTTTTCTCTATGAAAATAAGTTTGGCAGCATAGTAAGTTCTATTAATTGCCGCCCTGATTCTTTGTTTAGTGATCAGACTTTATTGATCACCTCTGAACGCTAAGGAAATGCAAACATCCATCTTGAGAGTTGATTGGATCGGTAGAGGCTTTTGTTTGATACTTTCGTAACGCTTAATGAATCTCAGTGGGCAATTGTTATCTAACAATATTTCAGTGAGGAGTTGTGTTTCTCCTTCCATGGTGTCGTCTGTACATATATCTTGCATACATCTGAACAAGCACTTAACCAATGCCTTTTTATGCTGTATTAGACAGAAGCTATGATAGTTTATATAATGTCCAGTTCGTATGGAGTTTCTGAAGGCAGATCGTATTATTGACCCAGTTTGTTGGTAGGTTATGAAAGCCTATGGAAATAACCAGCAGTCATTATTCTCTTTCACGTATGTTAGCGATATTTTGTAGTGCATTTATATGTTTAAGGATTTCTATAGCATCGATCCATTTATCACAAATGACCATTAAGTCATCCAAGTATCTCTTATTTATTCTCTGTAGCCTTCTGTATACAAATGTGCATGACAAATACGTGAGTGATCAAAATGTCCAAATTACATTACACATTTCAGATAAACTACATCTTCTTATTGTTTCATCAAAGTTGAGATATTTATCTCATGAATGAACCAATAGCCTTCTTCTAATCAATTCGAAGGTGTTTAACTATACCCTCTGGGTATAACTTAGGGCTAATTCAGACATTGGTTATTAAAGTTAACTGACCGTTAACCACTACAATCCACTTTCTTTGTGTGTGTGTGAGTGGGTGTGTTAAGTATCGAAATTAGTTCTTAATTCAGCTGGAAAACAGCACGATATGATATTGCTTTCTTATAATCCCTCAGTATTGTTATATACAACAAGTGAAGACAACAACACCATCTATATACACCCTGGAAGTAAAATGGGGATAGAACAACTGATCCCCAATCAATCAATATCTGTTTCAGAACCAAAAGGTGATGGAAGAGACAAATAAATTAACTAATTAATTAATTAATTAATTAGACTATGAACGTACTAATGTTAGTTAGTTAATTAGAAATGATTACAAAACGTGCGTGAAGTGTAGTCACAACAACTGTTCATTACAAAAATTTTCATATTGCTTATTCAAGAAAAGTAAGAGAATACATATTTCCAAGGCTGTTAGATTAGTATATATAATCACGTGACAATGAAGCTGTTGATAACTAGTTGAAGATAAATGAGGAAGGGTTGGATGAAGTCTTCAGTATAAGAGAAATTAGCAAGCAACTGAAGAAGTTAGATTAGACAGAATGCAGCCCCATCCAGTGAATGAATCTGCAACAGTTTTTTTTCTAGTTTAGTCTTGAATATATGCAGTATTATAACATAATAAGCTATTGTTAAGTATGATTATACTGAATAGCACTGTTTTCAACATAGAACTTTGCACCGATGTGCACCAGTTAAAGTCGCCACACTCCCCACATGTAGCACACAAAACAAAAGAAAAAAGTAGAAGAAATGCAAAATAGAGACAGTAGACAGGGATATGAGACAAAAGGAATAGGAATATCTAAAAGCAATATAGTTTTGTTGGGTATTACAAGTTACAAGGAGTGGATGTATCTGTGCTAGCCATTGAGAACGATCACTTTGAGCCATATCACCGATTGTTTCCAGCCATTGGTTTTCACCATCCCGAAGACCCCAACCAGGGAGTCTAAACCTTCCTACGTGGCTTAGACCAACTGTTGTGGATTTCATTGACTGGTGCCATGTTTCGGTTTGACCGCCTCTAGCTCTTTTCCAGCTAACATTCCCCGTTGAGGAAGGCGACGACTAGGGATGCATTGGTAACACAGGTCCTAACCACCTAAATCGGTGTAATTTCACAGCCTCGACGACTGATTTCTCCTCCCACGTACCTAGCACTCCACGCCCAGCCTCAATATTGCTCATCTTATTATACCACTTCACACGGGAGATAAAACGCAGGCACCTATGATCAAAGACAGTTCGCTAGTCTTTTCATGTCTTCCACTCTCAATGGCTAGGTTTCATAGCTAGCCATAAAGGAGGACGAAGCGGACTGATGAGCAGTACACACGCCCTTTGGCCGATAGCCAGCTGGATATCACGTCTACACCAGAGACGGTGGAGTAAACTGGCATATGCGAAACTAGCCCTCTGTATCCGTGCTGAGATTTCGTCAACGTTCAACCCGTTAAGGCTGATGTAATTCCCCAAATAAGTGAAGCGGTCAACGTGCTCTACCACTTCACTTCCTATTTCTAAACTAGAAGTCAGTGTAGTCCAGTCCTGTAACATCATCTTACATTTCGCGGGAGAGAATCGTAGATTGCAGCTCAAGGTGTTCAGAAGACTCTGCATTTTGTCAGCGTCTTCACCTAGAAGGACTATATCATCTGCCTATTCTAAGTCAACGAGATTATCCCCTGGTAGCAAGTCAATCCCTGAGTTGCTGAAGTGAGTTAGAGTTACGTCCATTAGTAAATCTATGCTAAAATTGAATAGAAATGGGGATAGTGGGCATCCCTGACGGACATCACCAGTTGTCACCACTTCAGATGACAACTCGCCTTAAGCTGTCACCTGGCTGCATGAGTTCGAGTAGAGTGCTTTGATAAGTGCAATGTATTTTCTCGGCATTCCCTTTACAGCCACTTTGTCACTAAGTGAAATCAGTTCGATAATCATTGAATACTAAGAATCAACTGGACAGGTGTTTCGCCCTAGTTTAGGACTCACAGGCATTGTACATCCATGAAACTTCAAGGGTCAAACTCAGAGGCTGAATATTCAACCTGCTGACTTTGTAAACTAAAGATTTTACGTTCGACTTCTTGTGAGGATATTTGTATGTGCCATTGTAGAGTTCAAAATCGAGACGAAACACATATCCGGTGTTCCTTGATTTCTGTAAGTGATATCAGTTACTAAAGTACTAGCCGCCTGGACATTTTATCTTTGCATTTTTTTATGAACAACAGAATTACTCTAAACAACAGAAAGAATTTGTAGTTCAGGATGAAGATGGAAATAGTTGAAAGTGTTCCCCAACATCTCTTAGTTGATGGAGAATGTTTTATCACTAGATCGGTGATATTTTCAAGTATTAACTCAATATGCAGTTAGAAGTGTGGTGAGAGCTGTCTACAAGCCAAAATTGTGAAGAACAATTTACGTCAATATTTACGTCCCGAATCGGGGTCATGAGAAAAAAGAAACAAGAACAAAGCTTAACCTTGTGGAACTCATCAACCAATCACAACAGACTTAACGTGTACAAATACGATTCGCAGATATATAGCTTAACTTTCTAGGAAACGATCACCAGCAGCAGAGAATAACCCTCGGTGAGAAAACGACCAATCAGGAGACGTTGCTTCTCTGCTGACAATAATGTACATAAAAATCTATAATTATCTTTTGATTTTCTCATCAAACCATCTGTTGCCTGGCCCTTTTCTCCAATCGTTAATATGATAACCTGGAGGTAAGCACAGTTGAGCCTCGTAGCTCAGTGCTAGAAAAATGCTAAAATCGTATTTTTCAGAGGTTTCGGGTTCGAATCTCACCACAATACAGATTTTTATTTCATCCTCAATCATCACACATTAAGTAAAAATTAAAAGAATAAGGTTCAATACTTACGTCAGAGGTATCCCACGGAATTCTTCACTGCCTTCTTGATTATCGAAGGATAAACCAAAGGTAAAGGATAAGTAATTCTCAGCACCAGCTGGAAAAGCGATAACAATACGTACTTCTGGATCTGAACAAACAATCACTGCATTACGATGTGTTATTAAATCCAGGTTGTACTTGAAGAAAGCTGATTTCACTGGAGCAAGATTTTCGAATTCCTACAGTCAGTTGTATTATGAAAAAATTTTTTTTATAGAAATGAAGAGAAAGGCAATGACTTTAAATATTATTTAAATTAGAAAAAAGGACACATTTCGTTCAGCATTTCTTGATGAAACTATGTAAGGTAGAATTTATATTCACTTTAAAATTAACTTCAGTGAAGAAATCGTCACGAACCGACAGAAATTAAAGAATCACTGAAAACCAGAGTGCACTAGATAAGCGTTTCGTCCTATTTTAGGACTCTTCCGTAATACGCGTTCACGACCCCAACAAAGACCGAACCCAGGACCTTCATGATACGAGTTCAATCTCATTGATCGTTCGGCCATATGGGCCAGAATTCAGTCAAGCGTAAATTCTAAATTCTGTGGATTTGTGATACAGTGCTGCTACCAATCAACCCTTTCAATGAGCATCTACTTCATCTTGACATAATGAAATTCATTGGCCACGATTTCTCAAAGCAACTTCAGGGCATTCATCCATTAGCCATCAATCAGTAAGCTGAAGATTGATATTTAGACTATGTGGTTTGTGAATACAGTGAGGTTCGACCCTTGATGGAGTCGTGAATGTACAGTGTTGAAGAGTCAGGAACTAGGACGAAACAGACGTCCAGTGCTACCTGGTGGTGGTGGTTTGTGACGAGATCCACGTTTACATTCATAGATCGATCGTTGTTAGTAACGATGTTTGACGAATGATTTCTGAAAGAAACATTCTTAGGTTGAAACATAGTTCGAATTGCAGGTCACCATAGAAAAAAACGCACATAATAACTCGTTATGGATATCAGTAGAAACTAACATAATCTGACAAGTTTTTTCTTTTCAAAATTATTAAATTAAATAATGACATTATAAGTGAAGATAAGAGGAATGTGTTTGTATCCCGGTGAGTGATGACGTAACCTACTGTTCTAATCAATATTAGCAACAACACCAACTCGATACGTACCACCGAACCCGTGACACAAGAAGGCGAGACGACAGGCAGCTGACGTAAAGAGCTTTTACTGGCTCGAATCAACAGAGAAAAGAGTCGACAGCAATTGCGTGCATGTATATATATATACATGGCCTTGAAAGACATTAATTACATTGATAAGTTAAAGCAGTCAACAACCAATCGGGTTCCAAGGTCATGTCATTACGCGATCAACTATTATATGCCTGCAACCTTGACAATCAACTGTCAATAAATTCATTTCGCCTTATTTTCCTACCTAGACAATAATAACTCATAATTAACGTTTTAATAACTTATGTATTTGACTACTACTCTAAATCTTGGACTGTTTAAGTAATTTCACTAATAACGCTTTAACATTTTTGGTTATTTTATTCTAATTCCACTATTTAAGCTTTGCTAGTGTTCATTAATAGAATGTAAACATTTTAAACTGTAAACTGTATCAGTCTTCGTTTTTTATATGCCTTTTTCAATTACTTATTGAGTGTAAGCAGCTGACACATGAATACAATGAAATACAATATGAATTTCTTTGACTATTTGAAAATGACAAAGATGTTTGACAAATTTCAAAATTTTCAAGTATTGCTTTTGTAGGGAATTGTTTGTTTGATTGGTTGGAGGATTTCCTTGTGAGTTGACATCAGTTAGAGAAATTATTGGAAAACCTGCGCGGAGTAACGGAGAGCTGTTTCATCCCAGTGCAGAACTCTTCAACAGTATGCACCCATCGGAGTTCGAAACCAGGACCTTCTGCTTACAATGAGAGTTAGAATTCATGGTCTGGCCATTGGATCGGATTCAAGTGGCTTAATGGTCTACAAGCTCACCTTGTAACCAGGTCGTGGGTTCGAGCTCCGGTGGGTGCATACTGTGAAGAGTCCCAAACTAGGACAAAACAGCTGTCCAGTACTCCCTGCAGGTTTCCGATGGTTCTCTAACTTATATCAATCTGTGGTCAAACTCAAAAAAAAAACAAATACTTAATCGTCTGTCTTAAAGTGAAATACACCTTTAAAATCTATGAAACCATTAGTTTGCTAACAATTAAATCAATGCACAAACTGAAAAACTTGAAAATGGGAAGACACAAAGGAACAACTATCTTTTTTTCTAAATAATTAAAAGAAGAAGCACACAGAGGTGTGTGTGTGTAAATGATTAAAGAAGATAATAGAGAAGAAATGAAATACTTATTGGCTATAAACTGCCTGTCATAGAACTAGTTTAATTGTCAAATATAAGTTATACAGCAGAATATTACATAGGAGGAAATAGATTAAACAAGGGATACTCCATGAATGATTAAATATTTTAGGGAGAAATTACTGTTATCAATACTACTAATCCTACCATTATTATGATTATTGGTGGTGGTGGTGAAGCTGTTTGAGATAGCCATTAATTGCGAAACTCGTTGTGAATTCAGTGGATGATAATTGAAGATAACATGAAAAGTTACTAGACCAGCTTGAAGATCTAGAGACCGTTGGTGTGAATCCTACAGCGACCAAGGTTTGCATCTTACCTCTAGCTACCACCTATCACATTATTATTATTATTATTATTATTATTATTGTAACAACAGAAGACAAGGGCCAGCCAAACAGATCGTTTATTAAGGAAATCAGCACGTATTTATATATTTTCTGGTACATGATTATAGCTTATTCAAGCAAACAAACACTCTTCTGATTGGTTGTTTCTCACAGAAAGTTAACCTTGCATCTCTTTGTGACTGTTTCTTGAATGTCAGGTCATCTATATGTTAACTGTATCTGCCTACGCAAAGTCTGCTGTGATTGGTTGTTAAATCAGTCTTCTTCATATTTTCTCACGACCAATATTAACGACATACCCATTGACGTAAATTAATGTCTACCAATTTTGGCTAGCAGCCTGCTCTCACCATACCACGTTCAAATACTTATATGCACTTTGACACCTGAACTATTCAACTATTTAGATACTTCATATACATTAAATTTTGTGAAACTGATTGATTTTTCTAAAAATTTCTTTGTGTTATTATGAGTGGAACAAGTGGCTTTTAGCTTTGGTGTTTTATTAGTAGTGGTGTCATTCTTTTTTTACGAAATGGGACGCCCAAAGTCTCTCTTTTCAGGGCTGGTAACACTATGTCCTAAGAAATGTATTACGTAGTGTTATATGCAATCTCGAAAGAAAAGACTAGGTGAATTAAATCTCATATTATGAAATACATTGTCTAGACCATAGTTACCAGTAATATTTATGTTTAATATCACACAAATTTGAAGACTTGCAAGCATAAACCAAAAAACTGGCAGAAGGAGCAGGCAGAGAAGACAGAATTCCGAGTGAACATAGAGAAGACGGAGATGATGCAGATTAATCAACCGACTAACACCAATAACAATAACAACAACCAGCACCAATCACCATCAACGGGAGAGATTTGACAGAGGTTACTTCCTTCCTTTAATTATCCGGTTATAAAGTACGGTTTCGACCACAGGCTGTCGGACAGCAGGGATGAAGATGTCAAAGCCAGCCAGTCAGAATCGAAAAGGGGAAATACGCCTTCATCAACCTGAAACCAGTTTGGAAATCTTCTGCTTCATTCAGCCAGCCAGCATGAAGAACGAGATTCGGATTCTGTTCAACACAAATGTGAAGTCAGCCACTACTTTTATACGGATCAGAAACTTGAACTGCGTGTCAGTTACGAAAAGGATTTCCAACAGAGGCCACAGCAGACTTTTATTAACACTTGCCAACTTCGCTGACTGGCTCCATATTATTATTATTATTGTATCCTTTAGTTCCTAGAGGAACATAGGGCTTCACCTGCGCACTCCATTGCCTTCGGTTTTCTGACAACTTTTTCACCCTGCTCCAGGTCTGTCCACATGCTTTCATCTCCTCCTCGCATGACCTCCTCCAAGTCACCCTTGCATTGACGACCAACTCGCCGCCTCCCTTCCGGGTTCCACTCGAGGGCTTGTCTAGTGATGTCACTTGATGGTTTCCTCAGAGTATGGCCAATCCATCTCCATTTCTTCCTGCCTATTTGTTTCACAATCGGTTCCTGATTGGTTCGGTCTCAGAGATCCCTGTTGCTGATCTTTTCTGGCCATCTGATCTTGAGTATTGAGTGAAGACAGCTGTTAACGAAGGTCTGAAGTTTGTTGGAGATGCTCTTTATGACTAGCCAAGTCTCTGGTCCGTATAGTAGCACTGACTTTACATTGGAGTTGAAAATCCGGATCTTATTTTTGATTCTGAGTGCTGTTGACCTCCACACAGATTTGAGAGTAATGAAAGCTTGTCTTGCATTTCCGATTCTTGCTTTGATATCCTCGTCAGTTCGGCCTGTAGTTGAGACGATGCTTCCCAGGTAGGTGAAGGAGGCTGTTTCTTTCAGGTTCTTCCCATTTATGCTGAGTGTTCTCTGTTGTTGTTGTTGCTGTTGGCTAGGAATCTTCATCACCTCTGTTTCATCTATGTTCACTTGAAGTCCTATCTTTGATGCTTCTTCTGCCAACTTGTTACTTTACTGAAGATCAAATGACCGACCAGCCAGCCAGAAAGAGCTAGCAACAAGAAACTCTGGCTGGCGACGAATCTACCAAGAGCCGTTGCTCAAAACATATGTAGAAGGAAATGGAGACAGTCATTCCTCGAGTTGAATCCCAATGGGAAGCGCCGACGAGTGAGTCGTTGGTACGAAAATGACATAGAGGAGATCGTGGGGCGAGGAGGAGGAGTAGACGAGAGATTATGGACGATAGTGGACTCAGCTGAAGAGGATAGCATAAAATAGAAGAAAGTGAAGATGTGTTGTTGGAGGCCCATTTACCACTCGAAACCCAAAGGAATAATAATAATAATTACCAGTATTCAATTGCTATTTATGAATTCTTTATTGAATAAAAATACAGCTGTACAGCTCTTGAAAGTGATTCATTGAGGTTAAAATTTTCTTCGCTCTTAAGTATTCTTTTGTTTATAACTCAATATGGCGATTTTCTGTTCACTATACTCCAAAGCGTAAGTATACACTATCGAACAAACAGATTTCGAAAGAGAGATAAAAAATTTCGTCACTAGACTGACAGAATAAAGAGAACACGTTTAGAGGATAGGTAAGCATAAAAGTCTTTTACAAATAAGAGAAACAACTTTTACTCTTACCTTTAGTGTAATTGGATGACGTAATAATTGCCAATCAACATCATGCGGAAAGTGTGTATAAATTAGCTGACTCGGATTAGCTAAGAAATAGAACATATCTAATCCATAACGGACATTATCTGGACTTGGACGTTTACCGATTAAACGACGAGCAGCCCAATGACAATCAACTAAACGCCATACTTTATCAATAAGTACTGCATTCCATGAATGTTGACCTTGACGACCAGAGAAATGCATACCAGGTGCATATTCTGCGCCTTTAGCATAACCAATTAATAGTTTACAGTGTAAACCAGCATAACTATTTAAATGTAAATGTAAAACAAACGATAAATAAAACGATGAAAACGTGGAGAAAGTTAAGAATGAAGTTTTTTTAAATTAAGCTATCATAGGGAATTTTCAACAGATAATAGATGTTGATATTAGATGGTTAGGGGCAATAGGCAAAAAGCCCTCGACCTAGATTTCGTGCTGGTTGGCACTCACTGGTCAGCAAGGCGTATCAACAATCTCGAAGGAACTCATGTTCCTTCTGAGAATCTAACACGTGTCACTCAGTGCTGCAGTGAGAGACGTTACCCCTGAGATATTCGGGCTCGTAATTGACCTCCTGTAGGAGTGAATCGGCTATTTTGATTGAGCACTGGTCAGTGGGTAGTGTAGTGTGCCTAGTCCTTTGTTCGGTGCAGACTGAAATCTGCCAGTCAAGGCCACTTAGCACGAAACCTAAATCCAAGGCTTCCCGCCGATTGCCTCCAACCATCCAATATCAATAATTCAAAGTGCATCGGGTTGGCGAGCCACCTGGAATGCTGGTCACATTGCAAACTTGACCGTTAGAATTCAGTTGGCACCAAATGAAGCACTAGACACACTACACTAGTCACTGCCTAGTGTTCAAATAAAGACAATAGATGTGTAGAGGTACCAACTTTAAAATTTTTCTCAGAACTTATTACTTTCTTGAAAAAGACCTTTTAAAATACTAACACAGCAATAAAAACATGTAATTATTACAGATGATGTTAGTATTTTTTTCTATTCCTCTTCGTTCTCAGTGGAAGACAGGGCTTCAGCCTGAAGCTTTCAAGTTTCATCAGCAACGGTATTGTTCTTCATACATTTATTTCCCTTTATGAATTAGCATAAAGCAAGAACAATAGTTTGTGCAAATTAAAGTGGTATCATCCTCTTCGGCTTCGCATCAGCTGCTACTATAGAGTTATGAGAATATGCTCTGAGGAGAAATTAGAAGAGGAATTTATGATTCTCGAAAAGATGTTGAGGAATTAGGGTCACTCCGAGATTCACTTACAGATATGGCAGATGTGAACGCTCGAACATCAAGCAAGTCACAGTGTGGAAAAAGCCTCTCATCATTTAACTCGATTTTAAAAGTGAAAATATTGCAGCAATTGTCAACAGAAGATTGAGGACGTCAATAACCATAGACTATTCTGCAGTTAAGTTGGTTCCCGTTCAACAGACAACATACCATTTTATGTTAACTCCAACTATCTATACGAATTTACGTGTAACTGGGGGAGCAGTCATATTGGAAGAACAGGAAGAAGGGCTCATTTCCAATTTCCTGAACATGTGCCGAAAAGCCTACGTCTCAAAAGGGGCAAATGCTTACAATAGTGCCATTACCCGGCATCTCTTTGATACGGTTCATGAGGTGGCAATCGCAAAATCCTTTAAAATTTATCAACAGATAAAAAAGCTCAATTCTCCTCAAGTTTGCCGAAGTAATCTCTATCAAGTGCCTGAAACCAGATTTATGTGTTCAGAAAGAAGCAGTTATCAGTTTTTCCTTGCCCGCCTGGTAGGTAATTGTGTATCTTTATTCTCTATTTCATTTGATTACGTAGCCTTTGGCCTTAACCTTAATATACCTTATTTTGACTAATCGAGTCTATAGGGTCATCTATAGTCTAGACGGAACTCCAGATGTCCCTTTCTTATATGGTGAAACTGTAGATGCTTTACTAGTTTCACTCTTCTTTTTCTTGTTACCCCCTCATTTCATCATTAAGGTTTTTTGATGTACTACTTAGTGCTACTGCTCGGTTTGTTAGACTAACTCACTAAAGCCAGCCTTCATAGAAAGATAACGGATAAGATGAATTAAAGTCTAAATATCTATTAGAATGCATCGGCTTTTTATAGACGCTAGTGTGCAGTTTACCTTCATCTGTTCTTTTTATTTTACAACCTAACAAATGCGAAAAGTAAAAATTCGTGTTATCTAACCCTGGTATATATTAAGGCTTCCATTCAAGGGATCTATAAAACGAAATGCAGTTAATTATTTCGATCAACATACATATATATGAAAGGAAAATCACAAACATGAATATACACATATTTTCATGTGATCTTCTCAGTTACCTTTGTATAAAAGCCCGCCACCACCTCTGGTTACCCTTCTGTTCTGTGATACTATTTTCTCTTCACATGTGTGCAAACATTCTATTTCACATGTAATATTGCTACTAATAGGCATGTTTCTTGCCTTTAATTGTTCTGTATTCATTTCTGTTGGGCTGATGTAATATTTCTGTATTTTAATTGTATTTAAGTACAGACGGCATGTTGTCAGATATTAATAATTACAAGGATTGGAGAATCTATAAGCGAATTCAATCCTCCACTGTCTACAGTCAACAAGCTCTAATAGACTACGACACCATACAACTGCGGAGTGCCAACAAGCACGAAACAAGCAGGTCCGAGGCTTCCTACTGATTGCCTCCAACTATCTAACATCGAGAATTCAAAGTACATCGTGAAGACGAGTCACTTAGCATGGTAGCCACATATTGCAAACTTGACTGATAGAATATAGCTTGCGCAGACACTAAGGACTAGACGCATGACATTAGTTGCCGACTAGTGTTCAATCAAAGTATCCGATTCAGTCCTACAGAGGGTTAATCGCAAGCCCAAATAGCTCAGTGGTAACGTCTCTGATTGCAGTACTGGGTGATCTAGACTGGAATCTCTGAAAGAACATAAGATGCGCCTTGCTGTCCGGTGAGGAGTGCCAACTAGCCGGAAAACTAGGTTAAACACTAGGCTTCCTGACTATAGGCTCCAACGATCTAATAACAACAGTTCATAAGAAAACTATCTTCACTGAGGGTTCAGCGCTGCTAACCATATTGGCTAATTCATGAAGAACGTAGTTAAGGAAGTAGTAATAGTAATTACAAATAACTCGTTCAATTAACTACGAAGAATATTTGTTTTCTGAAGGTGTTACCGTTCGTTTCAACGATTATGAAGTAGAGAAAAAAAGAACATTTGGCAAAGAATCTTTAAATAGATAAATAAATGCATATGTACTAGAAACGAAAAAATATAACAGAAAGAATAAAAACAGATGTTACATAATGCTGAAGAGAATAAAAATTTCAAAGATTCAAATGAAAAAACTACCACCCCTCCCCCTCACCCTCACCAAATAATCCTCTAATATATATCCTTGAATCAAAAAATCTACATGGAATGCTAAAATGGATGTGTTAATCAGGACAATAATAATAATAGTGGTTGTAGTAGTTACTATGGTACTGGTAGATCGTAGTGTAACAACAGAAGACAAGGGCCAGGCAACAGATCGTTTTATTACGAAAATCAACACGTATTTATATAAATTTCAGATACATTATTATAGCCTAGTCAAGTAGACAAACGCAGTCTTCTGACTGGTTGTTTTTGAGTTCCTCGGAAAGTGGAGCCATCTATCTGCGAATCATATTTGCCCACGTTTAAGTTTGCTGTGATTGGTTGTTGAAACGGCCTTGTTCATATTTTCTCACGGCCCATATTAGTGACCTAGACATTGACGTAGATTAATGTCAACCAAACGGCTAGCAGGCTGCTCTCACCACAGCAGTAGTGTTAATCACCTGACAAAATAAATTGTGGAATGTCATTCTGCACAAGTTCTTTGTTCAAGTTCTGCTTCTTTTGCCTGCCTTTCATGCTTTCTATATTTTTTCACAAGGATCTTTCATTTCTCCGCGTTTTTTTCAACTTAAAAAGTTGCTCTCTTATTTCAAGATTCTTCCAGAAAACATTGCTCATTTTTTTTCCTTCACGTTCCCCAGTGGAACATAGGGCTTCAAGCTAGTGGCTTGAAGTTTCTGTAGCAGTGTTTATGTTTACAGGATGGGGTTGCTAGCCTCATGCCCAACCTTTCCTCTTCACCAGAATTATTTCTGGCTTAGCGAGGTAAAGGAGTGCGTCGGTCGGGGATCGAACCCCAAACCATGTGCATGGTCGGCGAGCGTTTTAACCGCTATGCCACCGAGGCACATGCACACAACATACTACTTATAAATTCTCATCAGCAGTACATGCTAAGACTGTATTCATCTAGGTATTACAGAAGTACATTGAACATAAAATGATATCAGATGAAGAATTGTATAGTATTATGATGTACAATGCATTTTTGGAGTCAGTCAATTTTTCAAAAATTCGAAAATTTTATCTTTTCCGGTTTTTGGTGACTATCACCGTTGATTTAATGCATACACTGATTGGCAGAGTGTAATAGTGATATATCTGTTTTTATGGATAGGAAACTACGCTGTTAACATTTATCACCTTCTACTGATAGATAATTTAGATGTTATGTATCGATCAATTGGTCTACCTGCTTGACTCACTCATTAAGGCTGTCTGACATGCATCTACAACAATCCATCAGTCAATCACAGTCATTACCAACAAATCTGTTTGGCTGCAACAGAACCCATTTATGAGTGAATAATACATACGAATCGGTGTAATCCAATGGTAATCATTGCAACCTGTTTAGTCCTGAAGTTGATTAAAGTCTATTGCCTCCATAAACAACCTAGTACAACGCAGGATAGGTAAGACTTCGATCTTCCTCTCTAAATGTGCTCTTCTCATGTGGCCATGCAAACTTCTGATGTTTACAGCCAGACTGATGGATATGCAGGTCTAACATCAGGGGAGATAGAAACACCCTGATTCTAAGCCTGTAGGCTCCAGAATCCGAACGGATCAATCGGTATGTGAACCTGCCTTGGTTACTGGAAACCATAGGAATGCTGCTCCATTGTCTTGTGAATCAGACTTCAAGTTAAAGATCACGAGGTGATCCCTTAATAAGACAACCATTTGTGCTTCAGTCTTGGCATCCGGGCAGTACTACAGTCGTCGCAGAAACTACGGGATTTTGTATGGCACATCTTTTGATGCCTTCAACACTTGAACACCATTTACTGTAGACCTCACAAAGAAATGAGTTTTAGTTGGCTATATTAGGTGAGGAATTCAATATTTTACTTATATATATATATATAAACAGAATAGCTTACCGACATAATGTATAAAAGATTTGAGCATAAGTAGATTTTCCAGTACGTATACCCATTAGAATTTCTTCAGGACTGTCTGGTTTAACATAGTCAAAATTCATTTTATGCAAATCTTTAGTACATAACCAGAGAAAGATGACACGAACTTTTTCTAATTCATCAGTAATATTACGTGCATAAATCAGCTGCCAAATTAATTGATTAAAATTATCCTGTTGTTGTTGTGAAACGGAGACAGCGTGTTCATCAATTCGACGAAATACCTGGAGAGAGAGAGAGAGAACAAAAAATAGATAAACACAATCACGTTTATCACAATTCATTCTTACTCTTAGATGCATTTATCAGTAAGACGCTGAAATTACTGTACAGAAGTTCAAATTGTACATTTTACTCATTAAGCAATTCGCAAAAGCCTAAAAGGTATTACATGGGCTTTTACAAAATAGAATGCAATTTCTATTGCAGCTGCTCATCAGAATCTATCGTGAAGTCTAGTCATTTAGAACTTAGGAGTTATGCGAAACAAAATTCTCATGTATCAGGCCGTGAGTGACAGTTGCTTCTCCCCGGTTGAAGTAGATGGAACGGAATTAAAACCTGACATTCATTGACTGAATGCAAGGTTATTATTTATTTATTTTTGTTTCCATTAGTTCATAGATGAACATAAGGATTCAACTGCACGTCTCCATTGCGTTCGGTTCTCTGCCAAGGTTTTCACCTGGCTCCATGCTTGCCCCCATGCTTTCATCTCGTCTTCAAATGAACTCCCTCATGTTACCCAGCCCACACACTGACGACCAACTCTCCGCTTCCCTTTCGGGTTCCACTTGAGCGATGGCTTGGCGCGTGATATCACTTGGTGGTTTGTTTACTCAGAGTATGGCCAATCCACCTCGATTTCTCCCTGCATATTTGTTGCACAATCGGTTCCTGCTGGGTTGCCTCGCTCCCAGAGATCCCTGTTGCTTATCTTTTCTGGTCATCCGATCTTGGGTAGTGAGCGAAGACTTCTCTTGATGAAAGTCTGTAGTTTATTCGAAATGCTCTTCATGACACGCTAAGTCTCTGATCCGTGTAATAAGTAGCACTGACTTCACATTCTAGTTGAAAATTCGGATCTTATTTTCCTTTTCATGCTGAGTGCTGCTGATCTCCACACAGACTTGAAAGAAATGATAGCTTGCCTTGCTTTCCCGATCCTCGCTTTGATGTCTTCATCAGTTCCATCCACCTGTATTTAAAACGATTCTTCCCAGATAGGGTAGGTAAAGGGGGTCGCTTCTATCAAATTTCTCCCATTTATGCCGAAATGAAATCACTGATATTATTTTAAATTGCAAAAATGATCTTTTTCAGGATTCACTATGAGCTGACTTCATTAAGGTAATCATTGAAAAAGAGCCCAGTATGCATTGGGCGCCTGTTTCTCCCCCCCTCTCTTTGGGACTCTTCATTAGTCCGTACAAAAGAATCCAACAGGGATCGGACCTAGGCGACCACATCGACCATTCAGGCAGTGACACAGCTTCTTATGGCCCATGAATTATAACTTTCTCGGATTCGTGACTTATCAGGATACAACGAGTATCTAACTGAGTCCGTATAAACACAATAAAGAAATTTGTATGATGCATACAAACACCATCTTAATATGAGACATTTGCAATTGTCATTAAGTCACTCGAAAGATCCTGAAATAGTTATTACTGAAAATTGTTTGTAGAGATTGATGACAGACTTATTATTTAGCAATAATGATAGCATTAACTTATAGATAGTGTCGGCTGTTGCATGGCTGAATTCTCAGCAACCACACAGGTAGTCCGTGTTTTGATCCCCGGAGAATGCACTCCTAGACCTCGCTTAGCTGGTAGTAAACCCCGTGAAGAGGAAAGGTTAGGGGTGAAGCTAGTATCCTACCCCATAAGAACAATAAACCTTGAACCCAATGTTCCACTTGGACAATAGCAAAGTATGTTAAACCACAAGATGAGCAGAAAACTGGGACTGTATTCATCAAATAACCATTCAAAATAAATATCATATACAACATACTTCAAACGACTGGTATGGAGCAGTAGACATTTCATTTGTCGTTGGAATTTCTTGTGGTCTTGGCTTCTCCTCTAGTACATCTGTAGACAAAGGACTTGGTGCAAATTCTTTCGGTGGAACACGTTGAATTGGACCAGAACTCCAATTCGCTGTACTTTGATCAGGTCGATAAAATTGATTTGATGCTGATGATGGTTGACTTGTTCGACTGCCAAGCGTAGACGACACCTGATCATATTGTTGTTTATGATATGGTACACTGCTGGAATTCGATGATCCTGGAGGTGAAACATAGCCTACATTTGCTGTTTAAAAATTAAAGAAAGAAAGAAAAATTAATTTCTGATAGAATTCAGTTTGCACCAAATGGAGTACTAGAGGTATTATCTTAGTTATTGCCTAGTGTCCAATCAAAGTGGCTATTACAGTCCTACAGGAGGTCAGTCGTCAGCCTGAATAGCTCAGTGGTAATGTCTCTGACTGCACCACTGAGTGACCCGAGTTAGAACCTAGGAAGGGACATGAGTTCCTTCAAGATTTCAGACACACCTTGATGATGAATGTCGAAAGGCACGAAACCTACGTCAGACTTGACTTCCTTCAGCTGCTTCCAACTATCTAACAACAATGTCAATGCCTTTCAAAGAAAAGATGCATGTACTGGAATAACTAATTATCTGTATTCACATGAAAAAGTGATTATTGTTATATTTAAATAACCAATATTCAATCTTAAAGCTACCAATTTAAACGTCTGAGCTATCACGCTTCCAAATGCTTCAAACAAAGAAATTATAGGCTAGAATTTCCATATTAACTTGGATTACTATTTAAAAGGGTCATGATATGGTGGTCGATATCTAGTCCGAAAGTAAACCAATCAAACTGGGCCTACATAAAATACGCCCACTGTTTTATTGATTATGACTACAGACGCATTTTTCTATCTCGTCTTTTGTGTACTCTCACTTAAGTAGTGTAGGCTGAGGAAACAAAAAGTAGCTGTCATTGGCATAGTCAAGCGATAGTTACAATTATCGTGTCTCTGTGCCACCTCGGCGTCCCTATTTTAGTCTCGACGTATTGCGAAACATAACAAGTTAGTACATAGATCACTCTCTGTTGCATAAATATTTTAATGAATGCATATCCAAATGTCTCATAAGCTGTATCATCGCTACATAGTAGTACTATACTACTGATCGATATAAGTAGGTGAAAGCGACTCACATCAAACAGTAGTGTCAATTAAATAGAAATAAAGTCAGCAATGGGAAGTTGTTTCCCTCGATTAAAACTAAGCACAGGAGCAATGTACTAAGTTTCAATAGTGTCAGAGAGCTGAGTCAGTTTAAACCTACTGATGATACCTCATACTAGCACAAGGTGCTAACGCGAGATTCCAATACAGGTTGATTACTAATATATTATTATTGCTGCTTCCTTTAAATCATAAAAGAACATAGGGCTTCAGAAGTACATCTCCACTGCGTTCGGTTCTCCGCAACGTTTTCAACTGGCTCCACGTCTCCCCCGCATGCTTTCATTTCCTATTCACATGAACTCTTCCACGTCATTCCACCCTCGCACTGACGACCAACTCTCCGCTTCCCGTTTGGGTTCCACTCAAGAGCCTGTTGCGTAATGTCACTTGATGGTTTGCTTTCTCAGAGTGTGACTAATCCACCTCCATTTCTCCTAGCTTTGTTTTCTCAATCTTCGCTTTGATATTCTCGTCAGTTCCATCCGCTTGTGGTTGAAACGACGCTTTCCAGGTTGGTGGGTAAAGAATGTTGCTTCTTTCATATTTCTCCCACTTATGCTGATTGTTGTTTGTTGTTGTTGTTGGCTAGCAATCTTCATCACCATATCTGTTTTCTCTGTGTTCACCTGAACAAAGTCCTATCTTTGATGCTTCTTCTGACAACTTGTTGCTTTTCACTTGCATGTCTTCCAATTTGCGGGAAATCAGATATATACCATCGGCGAAATCCAGATCCTCCAAGTTTTTTGTGTAGGTCCATTTTATGCCTGTTTTCTTGCTGCCCGCCGCTGTCTGTCGCATTATCCAGTCTACCGCTTGCTATCAGGAAAATCATTGGAATAGTAGGCGGCAAGCCAGCCTTGTCTTACTCCCGTCTCCACTTCGAAGAATTCGGTGAGTTCCCGTTGTGGATTACTTGGCATGCAACACTGTCGTACAACTGTTGGATAAGATATATAATTGTTGGCGGCATCCCTTGGGGGTAGCGAAGTAGTTGCCAAATCATCTCTCGACCGACGCTGTTGGAGGTCTTTTCAAAGTCAATGAAGTTGAGATAGACTGTTGACTGTCAATTCAAGCTCTGTTTAATGATGATCCATAGTGTTGCGATTTGATCGATGCATTACTTGTTTCTCCTGAATTCAGCTTGTTTCGGTCGATTTCTTTCATCCATGGCGTGTTTGATTCTCTCCAGGATGACGTGGTTTAGTTTTTTGCTTGGGATGGACACGACCATAATTCCGCCCCAGTTCTTGCATTGACTTAAGTCTCCTTTCTTTGTCAGTTTGAATAAGTAATCTTTCTTCCTATACGCAGGTATCTTGCCTTCTTTCCACAACTTCTCCAGTAGTGGCATCATCAAGTTCGCTGATGTCTCTGGGTCCATTTTTAATGCTTTCTGCGGGGATTCCATTTGGTCCTGCTGCTTTTCCAGTTTTTAGCATTTTTACTGCCTTCAGGATTTCTGTTCTCATCGGAGGTTTGATGTTCACTAGTAGTTCTGCTTTCGCTGTTGGTATTATCGGATGCATTTTAGGTAGCGGTCGATTTAGAAGTCTCTTGAAGTGTTCAGCCAAGTGTTTCCTTTGTTCCATCTCTTTGGTGACTGACTTTCCATTGTCATCCTTCACTGGCTTAATTTGTGTTGAAGAAGTTAAAAATAGTGAGATTATGCTCATCAGTAGTTACACACACACATACTGGAGTTTATAAACCTGTTTTTGATAATAATAATATTAATTTTTGCTTTATTCCAAAAACGGTACTAATGATACAGCAGGGAATTTTCAGCATTCAGTGCAATATTGCATCTAATTTACTCAAAAACGAAAAAAAATTAAAAATATACATTACAATAATAATAATAAAACGAATGTTATAGCAGGTACATAGCAAATACTGTATGCAATACGGAGAAAAATATGCATAAAGTACAAAATTGTAGTAATAATAGTAATACCAACTAAAATAAAATAGCAGAGTTATGATTAAACGATAGAAAGTGTGACACCATAAAATACAGAAAGATGAACAATGAAAGTTAGAACTTAGTTTCTACATATAAACCCATGAAATGGGAATACGAAGAATTCTACAAGTTATAACTTACTGTTAGTTCCATTACTGCTAATGTAACTAGGTGAACCAGGCTCAAAACGAACTGAATTTTGATATCTCGTCGTTGGATTGATACTCTGGAATAAAGATAAACCAAACAGTATTTATATTAGATAGTATAATCATTTGAGAACTAATTATTCTGTTAGAAAGCATACTTAGTTATTATATGAATAGATATTAAACAAGCAAAACAGTAGATTAGAACAACAACAACAAAAGTGGTGACCCTCGTAACCCAACGGATAACTCTTTGGTGTATAAAGTGATGACTGCTTGTTTTGAGTCTTGATAGCATCATTATCAATCAATGGGGATGCAGGCATATACAAGTGACGAGTCTCAAATGCGATGAAACATGAGTCATCAATTCTACACCTAGCCATCATCAAACATGTAACTTTGAGTTCATAATCCTGGTAATAAAGTAGCATCCGTTTAAGCAGCCCATTGAGCTAAATGAAACTAGTCGTCTGGGTCAAGCTCCCATAAACGACCTGGTACACTTGAGGGTAGGTGGAATACTGCCATATGACATTCACACCTTGTGTCTTCATGTAGCAGGAGTGTTTCTCACAAAAAAGAAAGGATGAATGCAAACGTTCACCGCTTACAACTGAACTGATAGATATGCAAGTCTACCTAGGAAAGCTAGAAAACCCTGATTCCAAATCTACAGTGTACATGGCTCCAGAATTGGAAAAGACAGAATAGCGTATGAACCTGTTTTGGTCTCTGGAAACCATGAGAATTTAGCTTCCGACTCTGCTTCACTGTCTTGTAGATCGGACTTCTAGTCCGAGATTAACGGTGTGACTCCTTAAGACAACCATTTTTTTCGGTCTGGACAGCCAGAGAGCATCCCAGCTCTCGAATAAACTATGAAATAACAATCACAAACATGTATAAATGACTGCCATTACATTTTTCTTACACAAAACAAAGAAGTGAATATGATCACTGGGAATGGAAAGTAGTCATAAACACTTCCATCTATAGATGTGCAAAAGTGTATAAAGTAAATCAAAGAGAAAAGTGAATTAGTTACAAATTTTGCACATTTTGAAGTTCATTATTTCATACACACAAGCGAGAATATATATCTGCGACATCACAAACAGTTTTGAGGCAAGTTACAAACACTCTCCGACCGTTACCTCTTAGCATCTCGAGAAACCCAGCAAAAAGAAAACAACCACAACACCTTCATGAATTGGTGTAACCCTTTCTCAGCCCAATCCTAAAACAACTAACATTACTGATCGAGAAAGGCGATGGCTTGGCATGCAATAACACTTGTTATCACCATCTTGATCAACGGAGATTCACAACGTTATCACACAACCAATTTCGCCTCCTTACTTCCCACTTAACCTTAGAACTGCTTACCAACTGACAATATGATAGATTGGACGAAGAGACAAATCTATGGTCAAAAACGGTTGTGAGAAGCGGCTTGAAAATTAAGTGATATATTTCAACTTTCTGTTGAAATTTTAATCAAGATTATTAAGCCAATATCTAACTGAAAACCCAAACAAGTGATTCAGCGAAGAGACTCTTTTCAACGAATTTATCATCAAGCTGTACAATCGTATATATATATATATATATATATGGTTTTTTAAAAAGTTATATCCGGTGAGGGAATTAAATCATACATAGGTGTGAATACATAAAATAATAATAGTATGAAATGCAATTAAAAAATAAAATGTTTGTGATTATAATCATTCGTGAATTGGCAGAAGTTAGAATTCAACAACCATTGGACCGGGTCCCAGTGGCTCAATGGTCTACGAGCTCGCCTTGTAACCAGAAGGTCCTGGGTTCGAACCCCGGTGGGTGCGTACTACTGAGGAGTCCCAAACTAGGACGAAACAGCTGTCCAGTACCTTAATTATAATCATAGTTAAATGTCAAGCGGCAAAACAATTAATGTCATATGTAGAAAGCATAATTCATTGGATGGATAGAACTTGAAAAAGGGTGTTCAATTATAGGATTAGTAGACAAATCGAATAAAATAAAAGCGTTACGTAATAGTGTGAAATTCGATAGCATGGAATTTAACGTTGTAAAAAAATTGATTTAGAATGACAAGTGGGACAAGTGAAATAATACCGGGGACAGTTCAAAGTGAGAGTAGTAATAGTAACAATTGGCGTACTAAGGAAGAGTATACAAACTGAATACACTAAATGGAAAAATTGTTAGGGCTAATATATGATTGGGGATTACCATACTTTGGCAAAGAGGGATTAAGACCATGAGTGTTGGAGGGGTTGAGCGAACTTTTCCTGTACACATAGATCTGGTTTTTCTGTTTCGATTACCAAAGCTTCAGCAATACAGATGAGTCGGGTACGTAGGGATTTGGGTAAATTACTCTTTGCCTTGTAGATGACTTTAAAGGCGGAGGCTATAGAGATAGAGTGATCATTATCGACCAGATGTTCAATAATCGCGCTTCTTATTGCTCCACTTTCACCTTTTCGTAGCCATGCAGGATAGTGTTCTTGCACCCTCTTGGACAAAACTCGACCCGAACGACCGATATACCTAGCTCCACACGAGCAGGTAAATTGATAAACACACGTAGAGTTGGTCAACAGTGGGATCTTGTCCTCCAGGTTACTAAACAGTATTGGTCGACCAGTAAAAGCTATTCTCAGAGATGCAGCAGGGAATGTTCTTTTCAGGGACTGTGGTGTCCTATGTTTCATGATATCGAGAGCTAAGTCCCCTTGGAATTCCAAGCTCATGTAAAGTATTTTCTTGGATACGAATGATAAGTCACGTTTTATAGGATTTGAATGTATATTCTTATTTATAAAACGTGGTGGAAATCCATTTTCTATTAGGATTTTCCTCAAAATGTATGACTCATCTTCCACAGTAACAGTGCTACTATGCGCCGGATGCGAGTGGCAAGTGAGCGGACCAGGTTTCGTTTTCGGCCAATAGGTACCCAGCTGTAGAAATTTGTCAGTTGACCATTTTAATGCCAGCTTTCGATAAATCGATCTCTTCAGAGTTCTATAGGTCTTCCTTGACAAGTTCACATATCGAGAAAAAGAATGCTAGGCTCGTTCTCCATTTCGAGGGTGAATTTTATCGCAGGATAGATTCACACCTATGATTCACTTCCCTCACTGGATATAACTTCTTAAAAACCATATACATATACGATTGTACAGCTTGATAATAAATTCGTTGAAAAGAGTCTCTTCGCTGAATCACTACTTGTTTTGATTTTCTATATGTTACAATTGGAATTTTCTATGAGTTAAAATAATATCTAACAAACAATTGGTTCCTATAGAAACATTTTACTCTGAAACAAAAAGATACCATCAGAAATGAAATGAAAACCATGAAAAAGTTTTTAAAAAAAAACAACAGAAGAAGTAGCAGAGAATGTTGCATATATTTTGACAGAGGTATTTCACAGCACATTAATCTTCCCACTGTTCATATTGATACATAAATACATGACAATGAAAGGCTTGTGATGTTAGAGTAAGAACAATTTATGATTTCACAAATACTACTACTATTCACTACTTAGAAAAAACAAAAAAAACAATCATCAGGATTACAAAATATATATTATACACGATTACATAACTTAATGTAATGTGTGTACACACGAAAAGAGGAAGGTAGAATATAGAAACGTGAAGGTCGTAGCATAAAAGTGCTATATGTTGATAGTTTAATGTATATTCACGTGGTACAAAATTCTTTAACAAGAAGTATAAAAATGATGAAAGTAGAAACAGAGGAAAGATATATATATATATATATATGTGTATGTATTCGTTCGTGGTATCATCTCTCACGTGCAATGTTACTTTCAAGGAAGTAATATGTTATACCTTATTTAGTTAGCTAACTAACTGATGAAACATGAACAAAGAGGAAAAATTTATGTATACACGAGAAGTTATAATGACACTGTTGACCTTGGACAGGGAGAGTTATGGATATTAATCTAGGCGCCATCTTCTATATTTTTTTTATTCCTTTACATTTCAAGTGAAACAAAGAGAGATTCAAGCCTAGAGCTTTGAAGTTCCAGTAGCAGTGGTGTTTTATTTTTTACAGGGTGAAGTTGCTAGCTTCACGCCCAACCATTCCTCTTTACCGGCTTCACTACTGGCTAGGCGGGGTTTAGAAGTATGTGGCGTGGGGACCCAACCCTGGACTACTTGCTTGGCTGTCAAGCGTTCTGCCGCTGAATTACTATCGTATCTATAGGCGGATGATATGTGAAGATAGTTGGCACAAACAAACTCTCCCACATATATATCAGGGATCAGTAATCCTAAACATCCAAAGTTGTGTTGCTTTCTTCTTAATGTAATGCAAGATATATAGACAGACATAAGCAGTAACAATAAAATATTTCAATGCGTTCACAATCAAGTAGGATGGTGATTTGTCGTCAATGACACAAATGACTTTGTTGAAACTGCAACCTATTCAAAAACGTCTCACACATAAACAAACTAACTGATGAATGTAATTTAGTTGCCTTATGAATTAGAAAAGAATAAAAGAAGTACAAAAGAATTTTTTATTATGGGTATTGCAGGGATTTGGATTAATTTCAATGTAGATTTCGTTAAGGACCAACCTCGGTTAGAGAATCATTGAAAATCCAAAACCTGTTCTTTTAAATTACAAAGCAGAGCTCATTGACCATTCATCTATTTTCACCGGAATTCAACGAAACCGCGAATTCTCACTTTGTCAATTCATGATATGGCGCTACAGCCAACCACTACCACTACCTTGACATGCTGGATCCCACTTGCCACGACTTCTTATTACTAGCGGTTTCAGGACATTCCATCTCTATATAGTAGCCGCCAATGAGCTGCAGGTTGATATTTAGGTTAAAGGTTTCTGTAGGGATTTAGGTTCGATCCCTGGTGGGATAGTTATTGCTAACTGATAAAGAGACTCAACCAAGAAGGAACTGTTATCCAGTCCTCTTAGATTTTCTAAAATGATTTCCTGACGAAAAAAACAGAGGGAAGGTGTGAATAAGGGACAATAGTTTACTAAA